TGATAAGGGGACAAGTATACAGACCAAGTAGGATGATAAGGGGACAAGTATACAGACCAAGTAGGATGATGATACAGACCAAGTAGGATGGACAAGTATACAGACCAAGTAGGATGATAAGGGGACAAGTAGGATGATAAGGGGACAAGTATACAGTCCAAGTAGGATGATAAGGGGACAAGTATACAGACCAAGTAGGATGATAAGGGGACAAGTATACAGACCAAGTAGGATGATAAGGGGACCAGTATACAGACCAAGTAGGATGATAAGGGACTAGTATACAGACAAGGATGATAAGGGGACAAGTATACAGACAAAGGAGAATGTTATGGGGGCTAGTATACAGTCCAAGTAGGATGATTAGGGGACAAGTATACAGACAAAGGATAATGTTATGGGGGCTTGTATACAGACAAAGGATAATGTTATGGGGGCGTGTATACAGACAAAGGAGAATGTTATGGGGGCTTGTATACAGACAAAGGATAATGTTATGGGGGCGTGTATACAGACAAAGGATAATGTTATGGGGGCTTGTATACAGACAAAGGATAATGTTATGGGGGTTTGTATACAGACAAAGGAGAATGTTGTGGGGGCTTGTATACAGACAAAGGATAATGTTGTGGGGGCTTGTATACAGACAAAGGAGAATGTTATGGGGGCTTGTATACAGACAAAGGAGAATGTTATGGGGGCTTGTATACAGACAAAGGACAATGTTATGGGGGCTTGTATACAGACAAAGGACAATGTTATGGGGGCTTGTATACAGACAAAGGACAATGTTATGGGGGCTTGTATACAGACAAAGGAGAATGTTATGGGGGCTTGTATACAGTCAAAGGATAATGTTATGGGGGCTTGTATACAGACAAAGGACAATGTTATGGGGGCTTGTATACAGACAAAGGATAATGTTATGGGGGCTTGTATACAAAGGAGAATGTTATGGGGGCTTGTATACAAAGGAGAATGTTGTGGGGGCTTGTATACAGACAAAGGATAATGTTATGGGGGCTTGTATACAGACAAAGGAGAATGTTATGGGGGCTTGTATACAAAGGAGAATGTTATGGGGGCTTGTATACAAAGGAGAATGTTGTGGGGGCTTGTATACAGACAAAGGAGAATGTTATGGGGGCTTGTATACAGACAAAGGAGAATGTTATGGGGGCTTGTATACAAAGGAGAATGTCATGGGGGCTTGTATACAAAGGAGAATGTTGTGGGGGCTTGTATACAGACAAAGGAGAATGTTATGGAGGTTTGTATACAGTCAAAGGATAATGTTGTGGGGGTTTGTATACAGACAAAGGATAATGTTATGGGGGTTTGTATACAGACAAATGAGAATGTTATGGGGGTTTGTATACAGACAAAGGATAATGTTATGGGGGCGTGTATACAGACAAAGGAGAATGTTATGGGGGCTTGTATACAGACAAATGAGAATGTTATGGGGGCTTGTATACATAGTAACTATCAAAGCTCTAAACACTTCAGGATGATTGTCTGGAATGTTGACAAGTTTGGATTGATTTTAAATCGTGTTATATGTTTCACTTGAATGAAAGAGTCGTGTGTATGGAAAGCTGTTTAAGTATTTAATCAGCCTGATTGACTTTCTGCATGAATGTTATCAAAGACATGGCTACAGATTTCATGCATAAATAATTAATATAATTACATTGATTACCGTATTCGATCCAATAAGCAGCTTGGGCGCTTGAAAAATTGCAATGGGGGGGGGGGGGGGGGGGGGGGGGGCGCTTCTTAGAGACCATCTTAGATGAAAAAAGAAACACATTCAGTACTAAGAAATCTGCCTCCTTTAGGAATTTCCTGTCTTCTTTTTGAGGTGTTTTGTAAAGATGGTTTCAATTCACTCTCTTTTTGTCTCCAATCGTGAATTCACTTCCTATCTATACCGTACTGCTTTGATACTTTGCTGTTTCTCCATTCCTTGGTAAACTCCAAAACTTTTAACTTGAAAAGAAATTTCATAGGACTTGATTCGTGATTCGGCCCCCTTTGTGAGATTGTGATGTGTCTGGTCGCCATAATTTCAGTGTCAACCTCTATGCAACAAGGTGCACTCTGTCATTACGTGCTCGTGGATAAATTGTTTCAGATCATTTTAAAATGATGACACGAAAGGGAATTTGTTTATGATAAAGATATAAAATTCCATTTATACTTGCCTATTTTAGCACAACTATTTTATTTGTCATTTGATATCTAAGTGCTTCATTTGTTTCTGTCAGATAATCTATCACACATGAAAATATCATTTCTTAATCTGCTGTATCAATGGCTATCTTACCTGTTAAGTAATGGACTATGCCTTTTCAGTTGTCTTTACTGTGGCTGAGCGTGCGACACCAAGGTACACAAGGTAAAGGTCATCTGCCACATGGTTTAGGAATGTGTGAAAAAAATGTCTTGTATGTATGAATATTCGTCTGTGGTCAGGGGATATCATGTTTATAGAGAGTGTTGGAAATCATTCATAGGACAGTGCCTTGATACAGTTATTTAGGATAATAATCCATTCGACAAGTTAGCAATCAGAGTTGTGAAAGAAGGGAAAACAGTGGGTAACATTCCAAGTGAACTGTCAAAAACAGCTAATTTTTTTATCAGGCATGGTGGGAAAATTGTGGTAGTAGTTACAGAGGACACTTATCGACACTAATCGACACTCCTCTGTTGCTGGTGGACTGGAGATTTACTGGTTTTTTTTATGTTTTTCTTTAATACATCTCCTTATAAACCGACTTAAAACACTTCTTGATCGTGACTAAAACGTAAGTAAATCAAGACTTTAAGGTATCTGAAGGGGTGAGGGGGCGCTTATAGTGACATAGGCACTTATTGGGTCGAATACAGTAATTGGTTGGGGTGTTGTGCTACATTTGATGTTGAGGTCCAAAATTTCTTTCAGTAGGTCTTTTCTGACCTGCATATTTTGACCTTGCAAATCTTATTAAAAACTTGCATGTCACAACCAAATTTTCAACTGGAAATTGGACTCGTACAAGTTTAAATGTATATCATGAGTATATAAGGATAGTACGATTCATTGTGATGGGTGAAATATCATGATAAAACTGGTGGTGCACAGTTTACTCTTGAACATTGATTCATGGTGAATGTGGAGTTGGTGTATCCAGTAATGATTCAGTTTTTGATATTAAGCTGAGGTAGGGGGTGTGGGGTTGTTTGATTGTAGAATGTCAATAATTTGATATTCTAGGTCTGTGCTGATTGTGATCAGAGATTTAAATGGAGTGCTGCTGGGCTGTCTGATGGGATAGTAATTTAATATAATTAACTAGTTAATTGTGTGTTAGCTAAAGCAGTCTTCATTTTATGTAAAATAGATACCAATTGCTGACACATTCATTCAAATTAAGATAAGCTAGAATTTTATGTTTAAATTTAAAAAAAAGGTAATGAATTTCCATCACAATTTTCATGAGTTATCGAATAGTTCATAGAAATACTGAACTTAATTTAAAGTTGGAAAAAAAGGATCCCGAAGACAAAAGATTGAGGAAATCTGTGATTGTGTGAATAAGTATTTATTGTTTTATAGGACGATAACTGCAGGTCAGCTTCACAGAACAATTTATTTAAAACCTCAAGTCATGTTTGAACTCTTAGAAAATTTGAGGTCAAAGTGAGGGAATGAAATGTGATTGTAGAATTTACAAATTTAGTATTGACTGAAAATGTTGGATTTTTGTTTTTTGGGTTTTTTTTTTTTTTGTGTATTAGACAGGTATCGAAAATCAGGTTTTGAAAAAATGATAATACAATTACTTTTTTGCTGAAAAAAGGGGGAAAAAAATTTTAAAAAATGAATACAGTTTTTTGTAAATTTGATAATTTCCTGGGACAAGGTTCTGTTTCACTTCAGTCAGTAAAATAAAAAAATTTGTGGCTGGACTGGTACTCTAAAATATATAGACCAGTCCATGAATATGTAAAACCTGAAATAAAGTGGTCAAAAGTTGGTTTAAATTGAGATGGACAGGCTGAATTTTCATATAAGCTTCTCTTAAACTCTTGTGGGTAATTAAGATTTAATGAATGATGATAATAGACCCATATATTGATACTTTAACGACATCGTCAACAAAATTACAGTGAATGATGAGTTATACTACAGGGAGAGAATTCGGACACAGTCTGACGTGTGTATAGTGGTTAAATGCTGCTGTGAGTACAGCGTGTAGGTGTATATATTAAACCTAGTGTTGATATCATCACCTGTGTAAGTAACAGGTCTGAACCTGTCTACTAGCTTTCCCTCAATCTACACTGGAAACAAAGACACAAAGAGATAGTGAAGTTAGTAAGACTTGGGCCCCCTGGTGTTTCTTAGGAGGGACACAGCCACTGACCAGTGCTAGTTTTACTCAGGGACATGCTCCACTGACCCAGTACTGGTCAGAAGTCATTGTCTAAGTGGTGCTTTATTACATTTAGCACTTAACTTCACACTTCAATGTAAACAATGGTTTTAATGGATCTATACGGGGTGTATCTCCAGTCATCAACTCTACCAAGGATTTCCAATGATTTCTATTTCTTCATTGTTCATCAGGTTGAAAGCTGCGTGATATATCTCTGGATTTATTCCCATTTAAAAAAGATAATGACATGATGAACTGCAGATGTCATATATTGGGACATTGAAGAGAAAAGGGCAATATTCTTATGTGTCATGCAGTGAAAATAATCATATTAAAATGTGAAAATGTGAATTTTGTGGAGGAATCTGTCAACTAAACTTACAGAAATGTATTGAGATTATGACATTGTGTGACTCTACAGGATTTATGTTCAATATTACCATGTCGTGTGTGCCTAGATTTAGAAGAAGAAAAAGGAGGTTCTTGAAACCAGGAACATGTCCATGTCGAAGGAGTTTGCAAAGCTCTTGGCCTAATGCTAACAGTCCATGTGTTTTTCTGTCATTTGAGCAGACGAGAAGTCTGGCCCCTCTCACCCCTCTTACTGGCAGACGATATCTGAAGGAGAAGGATCACAGCATTACCCCAGTATCCACTGCCACACAGAGCGTTGGAAGACTCCAACATCTCCTGTCTGGACGTAAAACTGGACCCAGTGACGAGCTTCTACAACTGTTCCAGTAAGTCTCAGCTGTCTCATTATGAAAACTTTCTCATGTTTCAAGAAATCACAGTGTTGATATGTAATGATGATTCAAAATATAGAATATTTTATCCAATCAAAATATTTCATTGTAGGTGGTTTAATCCTCTTAATTCTTGAAGACAGTTTCATGGGCAGTATCCATTTCACATAAAAAAAATAATTTTGATGTTTATATCAAAGATTTACTGATAAATGAAGGGAAGTTCTAGCTGTTACATGGCATGTCATTGTTTTACATTGACCTAACAATGCTTTAGAAGAAACGCTGTTGAAGGATAAAGACATTGAAAGCCAGCCTGCTGTTATCAAAGCTTTGTTAACTTTACCTACCATTCAGTCACTTTTTAGAATGACAAAATATTCAACAAATCTTCATAATATCACAGATAACTTTTCTATATAGATTAAAGTTTCATTTCATTTGATGGTAATATAAAAGCACTCAAGTGAAAATTTTGAGATGCATAATTTTTCCATATAAGGTCTTTTTGGTCCGTCTTGGATTTTATCTTGTTAAATTGTAAAACAATAATTTTCAATGGATTTAAAGTTGGACGTGCTTTAGAATCTTATTTTAAGGGCCAAATAAGTACAAAGCTGAGTCTTGGTTAGATTTTCAATTTTGAACTTGAAGTTGGAACACAGATATATTGGTGGTATCACAGGAATTCTAGTTGGTAATGGCACTTCCTTAAATAAATATAATGGATTGTAGCTAAAACTTTTGCATTGCAGTAAAAAAAGTGTTTTTTATTTGCAGAGAATGCAAAAAAGATCCAAATGAATCCATCATTCCTCGGTTAAAGGAGATGGGTGATGTTTTCTGCAGTCATTACGTCCAGGTCTGTTAATCAGCTTCATGTTTTTCATGGTTGCAAACATTGTAGTTGAAATGGAATAAAGTTTGAAGTGTCAGTGAATTCCGATTCTGAAGTTTAACCCTGATTTCAATGTTCAACTTTCTTATTTTACTGGCTTCATTTCAACACAACATCCAATTCTGATTTGAATCAAATTTTTTTAAACACTAAATTGAAATGAATATTTAAAGTTTCTTTTCCAATTGGGTTGATTTTTTGCTTCCACCAGCCTACTGAGGACCATCCAGGGGCGCATATTGACTTTGCTAAACGTCGTCTCCAGCTGGGTGAGAGCCTATATTTTAAGACCTTAGAGAGTATTATCATGTCCGAGAAGAAACGCAGACAAGGCAGCACCTTGGCAGCAATAACTGTAAGTGTACTGAGGTCAAAGGTTATGAGATAAACCATTCCTTTAATGTGGTAACAGGCCAGTGTCCATCACTGTATGTGTACTGTGGTCAAAGGTTAAAAGTCATTTGATCTTGAAATTGCTGAGGTCAAAGTTTCCCAATTCTTTAATGTTAAAATAGTCCAGAAGCCATAACTAGTATGTTGAGGTCAAAGGTTATAAGTCATAATAAAAAATTATCATACATTGATGTCAAAGGTTACATGTCCCATGTTCCTAATTGCTGATGATTGGAGTTAAAATTAAAAATGTAGTGGGAGAATTTTTACCCAATCTTACGTTTATCTGAATATTTTGGGTAGACATTTCTGTGAAGTGGGGAGTAATTTTTAAATGATTTACCCCTGTAGTCTTTGAGTTAATCCTGAAATGACCACTAAAAATTTGGCAATACTTCTGTGGTTTTACCTGATTTACTCTTGTACTCTTTGAGTTAATCCTGAAATAACCACTAAAAATTTGGCAATACTTCCGTGGTTTTACCTGATTTACTCTTGTACTCTTTGAGTTAATCCTGAAATGACCACTAAAAATTTGGCAATACTTCCGTGGTTTTACCTGATTTACTCTTGTACTCTTTGAGTTAATCCTGAAATGACCACTAAAAATTTGGCAATACTTCCGTGGTTTTACCTGATTTACTCTTGTACTCTTTGAGTTAATCCTGAAATGACCACTAAAAATTTGGCAATACTTCCGTGGTTTTACCTGATTTACTCTTGTACTCTTTGAGTTAATCCTGAAATGACCACTAAAAATTTGGCAATACTTCCGTGGTTTTACCTGATTTACTCTTGTACTCTTTGAGTTAATCCTGAAATGACCACTAAAAATTTGGCAATACTTCCGTGGTTTTACCTGATTTACTCTTGTACTCTTTGAGTTAATCCTGAAATGACCACTAAAAATTTGGCAATACTTCCGTGGTTTTACCTGATTTACTCTTGTACTCTTTGAGTTAATCCTGAAATGACCACTAAAAATTTGGCAATACTTCCGTGGTTTTACCTGATTTACTCTTGTACTCTTTGAGTTAATCCTGAAATGACCACTAAAAATTTGGCAATACTTCCGTGGTTTTACCTGATTTACTCTTGTACTCTTTGAGTTAATCCTGAAATGACTACTAAAAATTTGGCAATACTTCCGTGGTTTTACCTGATTTACTCTTGTACTCTTTGAGTTAATCCTGAAATGACCACTAAAAATTTGGCAATACTTCCGTGGTTTTACCTGATTTACTCTTGTACTCTTTGAGTTAATCCTGAAATGACCACTAAAAATTTGGCAATACTTCCGTGGTTTTACCTGATTTACACTTGTACTCTTTGAGTTAATCCTGAAGTGACCGCTAATGACTTGATAAAACTTGCTGGTTTTACTTGTAATATTGCTATCCATCTGTTACAGGCTTTGTTGGAGCAGGACATGTTCCACCGGTCACTAATCGCCTGCTGTTTAGAAATAGTTATTTTCTCCTACAACTCCCAGAGGTGGGTATGACAAAATGATTTGTGAACTGATTAATTTTTGTTAAACATAAATTTTCATTTGCATGGTACATATTGCAGAAATCTGAATTAAGACCACTGTAACTAGTTTGGAGATTGCATTGACTGTACTTGTTTGAGGAGGACTGTAAGAGGTATGGAGGTAAACAAATGAATACTACCTGTAGGATGGACTGATTATTGGCCCTGTACTAGTGAAACAGTATACGTATGTTAAAGTTCTAGTAGCATCATTCATTATTGGATTTTCATCAAACCTCACTCACTTACAAATGACCATAATATCAAAAGTTCAAGGATTATTGGGTCATTGTCAAGGTCACCATTACTATTTTAACAAAACAAATGTCGGCACTCTTATAGAGGCTTCCTCATTACTTGAGGGGTTTTCACCAAACATCACACTTATAAAGTACCAAAATATCTTTAACAAGATTTAGTTTCAGGACTGTTAGGTCAAGGCCACTGTTACTACCTTAAACAAATCGTCAGCACATTAGTGGCTTCATTCCTTACAGAATTTTGATCAAACTTCACACACTGACATGACCATATTATCTATAAAGAGTTTGAGTTTCAGGGTTGTTGGGTAACAGCAAATGTCTCTTATAATTTTTTAGTAATCGTTGTTTGAGTTCTGATGAGTACATTTCTGAACGGATTCTCATAAAAATCCCAAAGTATGATAGTTTGTAGGGGGCATATAGCTATACTCATTATACTTGTGTCACAGAAATATTGTTAAAATGTTAATGGATGACGGAGAAATATTTTCTTGTGTGAAATCTTATAGGATGTTTCTGTGTATGATAGAGATATCGGATGTAATATACAATATTTGTACTACAGAATATTTTTCTGGAGACTGGAGATATCTGTTGTAATATCAAATGCTTTTACTACAGAATATTTCCTGATATAATGGAGATATGTGTTGTAATAATGAAGTTTTGCTTTACAGAATGTTTCCTTGGATAGTGGAGATATTTGAGCTGAGTGCCTACCATTTCTACAAGGTTGTGGAGATCATCATCAGAGCAGAGGAAGGGCTTTCACGAGACATGGTCAAACATCTTAATCATGTGAGTCTGCCATTGACTGACACTGTCCTGAAATCATTATGTTGGTAAATTTTTAAGGGAGACTTAACTTCTCTCTCAAGTAGCAAACAGATTTATTCTTTGTAGGTATGAATAAAGCTGTTATGTAACACAAGGACTCTCTGATATAGAGAAAGGCTTGACTTTTTTCATCTACTTTTAATTGAATTTTTTGATGTTTGTAAAACTGGGCTAAACAACCAATTTTGTGGAAAAAACACAATACCAAACAAAATGTCCATGAATACAAATTAACAATGAAAAAGTATGAGCGAGGAAAATTCTCACGAACTTGCTCCTATTCTCACGTCTATGTTAAAGTTATATTACATAAGTTTATCTTGAGGATAAGAACATAAGATGTTGACAACAGACAGTCCAAAGTTGTTACTGAATATCAGAGAAAACATTAGATGCAGAGCATTGTTTGTGAAACAATACAGTGACAAAGCTATATTTTTGACAGTGTCTGCTTTGTCATACTCATCGTGGAAACCACCCTGCTATACATTTGTCCAGTCCTCATGATGGTCTGAATAGGAAGGTGTCTCTATTGTATATCGGACAATAAGTCTCAAAGTATCAAAGAGATAGATAGCATAGATCTGCATCTTGTATTGATTGACTCTTAGAAGTTCAGTAAGCACAGGTGTACCATAATATGATGTATATTACTTAATTATGCAAATACAGAGTGAAAAAATTTTTCTCGTGAAGAAGCATGAGTTTAAAAGTATGTTAATTCATTCATGGCATTTAATTTGGCAGATTGAGGAGAGTATTTTAGAGTGTCATGCCTGGAGAAATGAATCCCCGCTCTGGGACTCAATCAGAGACCAGAATAGCACAGTGCCAGCTTGTGAAGAGGTAAGCTTCCTTAGAATTACTCGATCATGTAGCAAAAAATACTGAGGCATCTTATGAGATTATCTGTTTCTAGGATTATGAATTGAGGTTGGTATCTTTTAACTGTGTATCATTTTAACTAGTTCCAATCGCATATCATTGTTTCATTTCACCCAGTTTGTTAGGGAGCGAATAATTATAGTTCCAACAGTGTACCAGTGTTACATTTCACCCAGTTTGTTAGGGAGAGAATAATTCTATAGTTCCAACAGTGTATCAGTGTTACATTTCACTCAGTTTGTTAGGGAGAGAATAATTCTATAGTTCCAACAGTGTATCAGTGTTACATTTCACTCAGTTTGTTAGGGAGAGAATAATTCTATAGTTCCAACAGTGTACCAGTGTTACATTTCACCCAGTTTGTTAAGGAGAGAATCATTCTATAGTTCCAACAGTGTACCAATGTTACATTTCCCCCAGTTTGATAAGGAGAGAATCATTCTATAGTTCCAACTGTGTACCAGTGTTACATTTCACTCAGTTTGTTAGGGAGAGAATAATTCTATAGTTCCAACAGTGTATCAGTGTTACATTTCACCCAGTTTGTTAAGGAGAGAATCATTCTATAGTTCCAACAGTGTACCAATGTTACATTTCCCCCAGTTTGATAAGGAGAGAATCATTTTATAGTTCCAACTGTGTACCAGTGTTACATTTCACTCAATTTGTTAGGGAGAGAATAATTCTATAGTTCCAACAGTGTATCAGTGTTACATTTCACCCAGTTTGTTAAGGAGAGAATCATTCTATAGTTCCAACAGTGTACCAATGTTACATTTCCCCCAGTTTGATAAGGAGAGAATCATTCTATAGTTCCAACTGTGTACCAGTGTTACATTTCACCCAGTTTGATAAGGAGAGAATCATTCTATAGTTCCAACAGTGTACCAGTGTTACATTTCACTCAGTTTGATAAGGAGAGAATCATTCTATAGTTCCAACAGTGTACCAGTGTTACATTTCACCCAGTTTGTTAGGGAGAGAATAATTCTATAGTTCCAACAGTGTACCAGTGTTACATTTCACTCAGTTTGTTAGGGAGAGAATAATTCTATAGTTCCAACAGTGTACCAGTGTTACATTTCACTCAGTTTGATAAGGAGAGAATCATTCTATAGTTCCAACAGTGTACCAGTGTTACATTTCACTCAGTTTGTTAGGGAGAGAATAATTCTATAGTTCCAACAGTGTACCAGTGTTACATTTCACCCAGTTTGTTAGGGAGAGAATAATTCTATAGTTCCAACAGTGTACCAGTGTTACATTTCCAGCTGTTTGTTGAGATAACTCTACATCATAGACACTACCGTTTCTCTCCACCATCCCAAATGTAAGGGAGATAACTATATCATAAATACTACCGTTTCTCTCCACCATCCCAAATGTAAGGGAGATAACTATATCATAAATACTACTGTTTCTCTCCACCATCCCAAATGTAAGGGAGATAACTATATCATAGATACGACTGTTTCTCTCCACCATCCAAAATAGAAGGGAGATAACTATATCATAGATACTACTGTTTCTCTCCACCATCCCAAATGCAAGGGAGATAACTATATCATAAATACTACTGTTTCTCTCCACCATCCAAAATATAAGGAAGATAACTCTACATCATAGATACTACTGTTTCTCTCCACCATCCAAAATGTAAGGGAGATAACCATATCATAAATATTAATGTTTCTCTCCACTATCCAAATTAGAAGGGAGGTAACTATATCATAAATACTACTGTGTATCATTGTAGAAGGCTCCTGATAATCAGTGTGATCCTGAGTACTTTAACAATTTTCTTATGCTAATTGACTGACAATAAAAACAATGCATTGCCCACTTCCTTTGTCTTGGTTTTGCCTTTGCTCTTTCTTATCTGTTTTTTTTTTCTCACTGAGATTCACTTTTTTCTCTTCCTTTCTCTCTCTTTTGTTGGAGTTGTTTCCTGTGACACTTATCCTCTGATTCAACTGACATGTCAAATACCAATTTTTCAATTTAAAAAAAACTTAAACCTATCTATAAGTAATAATTATTCCAGATTACTGATAGTTGTTTTCTTAGCAAATTTTTATTTTAAGACATTATACTCTATTGCATTTAAAGGTGATTTTACCAAGCCAGCTGGAATCTGTACAAGTCAACTCTCCAATGGTGCACCCAGCTGTCAAAAGACTGCAGGTAGATGAGGTTCGTAGTGGGCAGCAGCAACAACCAGCAACAACAACTGTGAGAGGTACAGTATAGTTCACATAACAAGTATGACAGTATGATTCACATAACAAGTATGACAGTATGATTCACATAACAAGTAAGACAGTATGATTTACATAACAAGTACAACAGTATGATTCTCATAACAAGAACGACAGTATGATTCACATAACCAATACAACAGTATGATTCACATAACAAGTATGATATCAATATTCACATAACAAGTACGACAGTATGATTCATAACAAGTACAACAGTATGATTCACATAGTAAGTACAACAGTATGATTCACATAACAAGTACAAAAGTATGATTCACATAACAATTATGACATTAATATTTACATAACAAGTACGAAAGAAGAGCAAAATTTCACATAACAAGGAAAACCTGCATGATTCATTTAACACTCATGAGAAACTCAGTGATATCTCAAATTCTCGGATGTATTTGAAGAATTATTACTTTCTTTTTATTTTGAATGATAGCCTTTTGTTTGGAATCTGATTTACGAACTGTTCTTGGTTATATTATAGAATCTCTTCCTTCTCCTCCTGGGGCCACTACAATGGCAAGTGATCGGTTTAGCTCACCCTCCCCAGGATCAGCTAAGAGACGTCTTTTTATTACCAAGCACTCTGTGACAAGCCAGACCTCTGAGGGAGAGGGGTCTAACACTACCACAACCGCCACTTCAACCACGTCTACCATGCCGACCCAAATAATAGCATTCCAGCAGGCGCAGACGGAGGATGGGCGACAGGTACACATGAATTTATAGTGCAGTACAGTGTTTTACCTCAGACTCAAAGTCAATGGGCTTATTACAGGACAATGAAGTGACATGTGTGGTCAATTTATGTTGGCACCAAATAGATATAGATTACTAGACATGGGTTTATTGAAGCATGAACTTTGTTTTACATTATGAATTTCTTTTTTTTTTAATGCTCCTCTTTTGACTTGAGATTTAATTAAGATTTTATTGCCTTGTCTGTCCCTAGTGATGATGTGGTCTTATATCATGACCTTTTGTCAGCGGTTTTTCTCTCCTAAACGCTTCCTTTCAAGAGTGAGGGAAGGGATTCTGAAGAAAGTTGGTGTGGTCAATCATAGTCCAAGAGAACTAAAGTTTAATCGTGAGGTGTTGTTCATCATGCTGATGGGCAGGGTTTTATTGGGAACTATCCGTACTTGGTTTGTTTTCAAGAATCTTTGTTAACCAATCAGCATACGTAAAGAACTTTAGGCCGGTCGTGCCCTGTTTTAGGCCGGTCGTGCCCTGTTTTAGGCCGGTCGTGCCCTCATTGAGAGGTTTAGATCCTACCCAGTACTACAATGGCTAGACCTAAAATTGCTGAAATATATGAAGTGCTTGTTTTTTTTACAGGTGTTGATACCAGTACATACTATATTACCCCAGAATACTTCCAACACGTCGACCTCCTCTACAACCTCTGCCACAACAACGCCCACAGTCTCTACACAGTCCACACAGACTGGCAACAAACCCAAGAAAACAGGCTCTCTTGCACTATTCTTTAGAAAGGTTGGTTATGTTCTTTAGAAGTTTATTTATTAAACATTTCCAGTGAAAAGCATGCACTTAAGGTTATAATAATCTGTTGCAGGAGTAGCAAATAGTATCTCTTGATTTGTTGAGGTGAAATATATTGTAAATTGTAAATTTGAATTACTGAAATTCTACATGTAGATGTACCACCTAGCCAGTGTTAGACTGACAGATCTATGTGACCGTCTACAAGTGGATGATGACGACCTTCGACAGAAGATGTGGACTTGTTTTGAACACACGCTCGTCCATCATACAGATCTGATGATGGACCGTCACATAGACCAGATGATCATGTGTGCAATATACGTCATGGCCAAGGTAAGTGATACACATCTGTGATCTAGCTGTGATCATGTGTATAATACACGTTATGGCCAAGGTAAGTGATACATATCTGTGATCTAGCTGTGATCATGTGTATAATACACGTTATGGCCAAGGTAAGTGATACATATCTGTGATCTAGCTGTGATCATGTGTGTAATAAACGTTATGGCCAAGGTAAGTGATACATATCTGTGATCAAGCTGTGATCATGTGTATAATATACGTTATGGCCAAGGTAAGTGATACACTTTTGTGATCTAGCTGTGATCATGTGTATAATATACGTCATGGCCAAGGTAAGTGATACACTTTTGTGATCTAGCTGTGATCATGTGTATAATATACGTTATGGCCAAGGTAAGTGATACACTTTTGTGATCTAGCTGTGATCATGTGTATAATATACGTTATGGCCAAGGTAAGTGGTACACTTTTGTGACATGGAAATTTTTTTTACTCATTACCATAGTCTGCTGCTCATGCAGTACAAATGTGAATTTTCCATTGAACCAGAGAGTAGTGATATAGAGTCTTTAAAATTTTCCATAATTATGAAGGATCATTCTATCTTAAGTTTACAGTCAGATGTTACAGCTATGGGCTGTCTAGTATCTAATCTTGTAGTGTTTGCAACGTTGTAATCTACATGTACACAATATACTGTATCTGTTCTTATTAACTTTTCTGGAACATGTCTTTCTTCATAGAAAGGATATTTAAAAACACCACAAACTATCTAGGTTAGTCCTTGACATTAAGTGACACTACTGTAGACAGATATTTCCTGTTTCCATTTTTCTTGAATGAATACATCTTACCTTGTTCTGGACTTCATCTATACAAGGAACCCTTTAAATACGTCGGAGAGAGTGTTGTATTAGGCAGTGTTAAACAAAAAACCCTCTATTTTCTTAACTGCCTCTTTATAGGTCAAGACCAAAGCCTGCGTGCCATTTGGTTACTTTAATACATAGGAAATCTTGGATTATTTTATGAAAATGATTGCAGAATTTGTGAGATTATTTCTGATACTTTTGTGGTATGTGTTAACATTATTCTGATTTGTATCATTTTTCAGGTGACCGATCACCCTCAGTCTTTCCAAAATATTATGAAGTGCTATAGACTTCAACCACAGGCACAAAGTCATGTAAGTATATAATTACTCACAGATTTGCATAGCATCATGTCATTAAATAAAACCATTTCAAATAAGAGAAAGGTGAAACCGTGCTGCAAGATATCACTGTGACATTATGTAATTCTGGTATTAATCATAAAAGCCCAGGGCCTGTATCATCTGTCTTGTTTGCTTGCAGGCATGCCATAGTACAGTGCTAGCTTGTATTGAAAAGTTGTTTGTTTACAGGTGTACCGTAGTGTGTTGATAAGTGGTAGACGGAGACGAACCTCTGGCAGCAGTGACAGTAGTAAAAATGGAACTAGTGGCTCATCTTCACCAGTTCCAGAAATCAAGGAGGAAGCGACAACAAAACGTAAATACTACATACACTAAATACAGAATGCTGTAGAGAAAACACACCATTTGAAAGAAATTGTGTGAACAAGGCAAAAGACCTGTGTCTCTTTCCTATGTAGTTGTTAGTTGTGTCCCTGCAATTTTGTGGAGTGGGTCATAAGGCATATCTGATCTCCCTGTGTGCTAAATCTTGCATACCAACAGTTCTGTTCTCACTAGACAGATAATTGTATAGCTAATTCAGGAAAACTATCAGGATTTTTGTGTCGCCTGTAGAGCTTGCGGACACTTGTCCATCGTCGCGCGTTGGCAGTGTTGGTACGAAAGTTTTCCAGACTTTTTTCCATTAGGCTTTGAGTCATCAAAATGAAATTTAGTATATGGCTTCTTGTTGGAAGGGTACAGATTAAGTTCGGTTTCAGGCTGTCTGTGACCCTTCTTGGCACAGTTTAATGCCCCTTTGAGCTTAGAAAATTCTGTGGGAATATTGTTTTCTGGACTTTTTTTTGGTTATGCTTTTAGATATAGAAATGAAATTTGGTATATGGCTTCTTGTTGGAAGGGTACAGATTATTTTGATTCTTGGCTGTCTGTGACCCTTCTTTGCAGAGTTATGCCTCTTCGAAAATTCTTTTTTGAAATGAAATATGAGAAATGGCTTCATGGTCAAACATTACAGATAAGGTTTGATTCACAGCTTTGTTGCATTTTGTAGACATTTACAGGTAACAAGGTATACCAATATGACATATAAAATGTTTTTTTTTGTATGGTGAATATTCCTTAGATACAAAATTGAAGCTTCTTAACTTCATTGTTGATAATAAATGTAGTAAAGTACATTATGTACATATAAGTTAACTGTTGACTATACATTATCATGGAGGGGACATTCATAAGTTATGATAACTCACATGAAATTCTTTTGGATAAAGTTTATGCAACAAAATTTTTTTTACTTCTATTTAGGAAAAGGTGAAATACGATCATCTAGTACTTTACCTGTACCCCATCCAAGTAGTCACCCTCCAACCCCCACACGATTACTTACAACAGGGCCTGGCTTTGATTTAGGGGAGGAGCGAGGAGATCTCATTATGTTCTACAACATGGTATGTAATGTCATACAACATGGTTCATATCGTCACAAGATTAATTTTCTAATTTCGTGGATAATCTTTCACATTCAAGTTTACGAAAATTTTCAAATTTCTCCTGTTCTTGTGAATAGTGAAGCACATTGAATTAACACTTAATCCTTTAAAACGTGAACAGGCAATTCATATGTAAAAGTCCTTGTACTGTGATTTGTTTATTGAAAGTTCTTGTAAAATGTCTTCCATTACATTTCAGGTTTATGTAGGAAGCATGAAGAAATTTGCTATGAAGTTTTCTTCACAAAGTCAATCTGAGGTTTGTTGGGGTTTTCTAATCAGAATCATTCTCTCCTGTTGTAACTCTAAAATATCACTTCATCATGTAATGAAATTTACTGAACTAATTAAAAAGAAAGACTATACATAACAGATATGGGGATTCACTTTCTGAACTTGTTAACACAAATTACTTTCACATTGAAAATTGTAGTAAATTAGAATTTCAATAAAGGAGAGTCTGCAGGAACTTGTTTGTGAAAATTTAGAAATTTGAAAAAGTTTTGTGTTGTGACTTTTGTGATAAAATAAGATTTGCTGCAGAAAACTGTTGAAAGCTGGTAAATTCTACTTTCACCTTTTGTAAGAAGAGCAAAAATATACCAGTCTAATCAACTTCTGAATGAAATATGGGTTGTACCTGAGTAATGACTATCTTCCTTTGTCTCTTGTATATAAATGTTGTATAGAGTAATGAGTTATATATCTAACAGGATTGTCCACCATCATCACCTCCTTTGTAAATGTTATATAGAGTAAGGAGTTATGTTTTGTTTGTTTGACAGGACTGTCCACCACTGTCGCCTCTGCCCATGTCTAAAGTCCACCCTTCCTCGCCTCGGCGTGTGTCTGGTAACCATTGCGTGTACATATCACCTCACAAACTCACTAACAATCTACCTAGTGAGAGGATGTTGTACTGCTTCCAGAAGAGTCCAGCAAAGGTCTGTAAAATTCAAAGTTTTAAGGGAATTTTTTTTCTTTACTTTCTGTACTACCATCAAATAATACCTACTAATCTCATTTAAAAGTACAAAATCATTATTCAAGAAATTTTCACAAGTTTGCCTTTTTTTTTAAAACTTTAGATGAATCTCTTACTGTTTCACAGTTGATAGCATCTTGCATTAAATACTAACTTTAAAAAATTATGGTAATTTTTTTTTTCTTCAGGACTTGCGTGCAATAAACAGAATGATCAAGATGAATGAGAAGAAAACATCTTTCCTCGGTAAAAGAGTGCTTAACGTTGATAAAGACAATGAAGGACCTAGTCCAGCCAAACAAATATATCAGGGTACTGGTATATCATTAATGAGGCGCTTACAAAACCTGAACAATGACCGACAGGAAAATGCCCAGTGATCTCCCTAGACAACACTAGACCTACAATGTCTAGGAACACAGTCTGGAAGTAGTGCTGTGATGATTAAGCTGCATTAAATACAATCATGTTGTTCCTGTATACTGATTTCTGTGACATTCTCAAGAAATTTTCATACTTACTTGTGTACCAATTCTCGCCACTGACATAAACTCACAGGACTGTTTTCTATCAGTGATATCTCTTTCACACTATCTCCATATCCTCTCTCTCTCTCTCACACACTATCTCCATATCCTCTCTCTCTCTCTCTCTCTTTCTCTCTCTCTCTCTCACACACGATCTCCATATCCTCTCTCTCTCTCTCTCTCTCGCACACACGATCTCCATATACTCTCTCTCTCTCTCTCTCCTCTCTCACACACGATCTCCTCTCTCTCTCTCTCTCTATCTCTCTCTCTCTCTCTATCTCTCTCTCTCTCTCTCTCTCTCTCTCTCTCTCTCTCACACACACACATGATCTCCATATCCTCTGAAATAATAGGGCAATTTAAATATAAACTAGCAAATCTGAGGAGGATTATTTTGCAGAAATATTTGATGAGTACTCGATAATTAAATGTTCCCTTAGATAAATAGTACTCCAACAGTTGCATCTTGTCAGTACTTATTTAAGTGATTAGACAGTTGTTTATCAGACTGTTATCTTGTTTTTGTCGATCAGACGGTTATAGACCTTGTCAATGTTGACAGTTATAGACCTTGTCTGTGTTGTACCAAATTTTTAGCTCACCATCATCACAGGGCTTACCAAATCGCATTCACTTGTCAGTCTGACTCACAATATTTGTGATCATTATTTCTTGAGAACCACATAAAGGATCTGCTGTAATTCTTATCAACCTCATCATTATGGGTCCTAGTTATGTATTCCATGTGAGCAAGATCAAAGTTTCAGCATTTTTTGCAGTGTCCATTTTGGATTTGACTTTTGATAATTGTGACCAGTGTGACATTTTAAATTAAGTAGGCAAGTTTTTTCAGAAAGTACTGAAAAGATCACTTACAAATCATTGCTTGTCAATGTCTTCATACTTACAAGTGAACATGCAAAGTATATTTATCATATCCCCCACCTATTAAGGGGGGTGGGGTGTTGTTGTTTATGTATAGTAATTACTTTGTGCATAGGTAATAGATTTCTGTACAACCTATTTCCTGAACCGCTGAACATATCTGGTTCATATTCACACATCATCATACCACCAAGGTCTGTGCCTTTGATTTTGGTGGTCATTTATTGAGGATAAAAGTTCACCCTTAAACATTTTGAACAAGGGATAGGACGATGTTTATACATTAAGTCCGAATTTTGTTATCAAAGTGGCTTAATACAGACTAGAACAGATACAGGTAAAAGAACAGTATGGTGTAGAAATTACAGATCTTATGGTAGTGCATGTCAAGGCATGTAGAAGACATTTGTTGTGTTTTGGAGATGTTTTGATATATAGATATACATTTCGTGAATAGTCGATGGAGGATATATTTTCCATCCATTGATTATGCAATTATTTTTTTTTTTTTTCTTTCCCGATTTTCTCTGTCACATTATATTGTAACTTTTGATCCTTTCTAATGACGCTCCAATTCTTCGCTGTGCTGGTTTGCATGATCCTCATTTATCTATTTTGTGTAATGTTCACATATTTTGATCTCTTTTATTGACCATCGTGTCATGGTGGTTGTTATATTAATGGTAGATGTATATATGTAAAAATAAGATTTTGTACATAATTATTGAACCTGTACATTCAGAAGACTGAATATATATATATATATATACACACAATCCTTTAAATTCGTGTGGTGCAAGATGCACAAAGACTGTGATACATAGAAAAATTTTATTGGGAGTTTTGATAACTATATATTGTGTAACTTAATTTTTAAGAACTTGATAACTACATACTGCAGTGTGTAGATTTCTATACATTTACTGAACCACTGGATGGCAAGAGAGGAAGTCTGAGAGTGACTGAGCTTAATCATTATTGTAAATAGCAATGTTACCCATCATTTAAGAATGATATGGATAGGGGTGTCAAATTGTATTTCATTTTGAGATTTAAAAAAAAAAGAAAAAAATTCTTTAAGGGTTAAAAATGGAATGATTTCCATGAATAAAATGAAGTTAGTTGATTCTTCAACAAATGAAATTCCCAGACATAAAAGTACTTCTGTCAGTGAATATCAAGTAATTGTTGTGGATAGGAAATTTTATTGCAATAGAGAAAAAAAACATAATTGAAGTCAATATAATTGAAAATGACCTTCAAATGATTGAAATTGAATTTTGTTTGAATATTAAATGTCATTTCAGCAGAATGAAATGTTTAATTCAAAAATTATTATTATAAAGGAAAGGATGCAAATTGTTATGAACAGAATATTCTAATTTTATACAAAATGTAAGTGAAAACTGGTGTAATTTCAGATTTTACTGCTGTGTCTACTTCTGTGAAAGAAGTTTTATCCCTGGGTAACAAGTCCTTCCCCTGTTAATATAAACACTTCTCAGCTCACCTGCCCCAAGGACAAGTAGTCTTATGTTGTAATGCAGCACCTGTCTGTCTGTCCACTTTATATTTTCTTTTAAACAACTTCTCAATTGCAAATTTGCTAGTATTAATTATCTTGTTGTTGACCACAATCAATAATCAATGTGTTAAGGTATTCAAACAACTTGTTCTTGGTAAACTAATGATTCTTGGTAATTTTTTCCCTTCATTTTGAATGTACTGGAAAGTTGAATAAACCTGATAGTTACCTGAATTTGCTGATTTGAACAAAATTGGGCCCTTTGTTAATGAACTATCACTACAGGAATAAGAAAGATAAGATTTCAAAGACCTTTTTATTGATTTGACGATATTTTAACATGTATAGTGCTTTTTTATGTATCATTTGAAAATACTTGTTTCTTACATGATTATGTAGTAATGAATAAATCATACAGGGCTTTGTGGATGATTAAAAAAAAAAAAAAAAAAAAACTTTGTTAAAAGACCATGTCAGGAAATGACTCCTGAATGAAGTTAGTCAAAACGTTTGAGATAAAAATGATACTACTATCCTATGGGAAATCTTGATGTCTTGTATCATGTTTGTAGGTTGAGGAGTTAAATTCGTACAGCAGACATTTTAAAATTGTTTTAATTTTGGGTTCTGACCTTTGAGGTCATTCCATCTCTGAATGTATGTATGTGTCTTTAGTGTTGCCAAATAGTACCTGTGACTTTGTTTTACTGTACATAGCCTGTGATGATAAAATACTATACAAATTATTGTATGAAAGGCTTGGATATTGATGAAAGAATACAATGTGAAACAAAATGATATTGTAGTCAAAAATAAAATGTTTCAACACTTATTTGTAGATTTTGAGTGTTATCTTGGGTGAGCGATGGAGATGGGTATTGCCACAATGTCTTACAAAATCCAGCTGATTGTTTTGTCACTAACCAAGGCAGTTTGTGTTTCTCAGAAAACTGAGGAACGGGGCCCATGCTGTGCTGTGATCTCGTGTTAGACACTTTACCCAAATCGCTCATCATGGTATTTGATCAGCCACTGGTTTGATGTTCATCGAGTTGATCATCAGCTTCTTCAACCAGGTCTCGCCTAAAAATAAATTGTCAGTTAATGAGGGATAAAGACAGAAATCAACAGAAACTCTTGATGTTTCCATGGTATAATTTCTATAACCAATGAGAATGAAGGTGTGAAAGGAGCATCTGAATAATTCAAGGGACATTCCATCATTGGAATGGCAACAACAGATTTTATTATTGTTTTCTTCTTGAGGCACACTATTATATGTGTGCCAAATAGTGACAAAATAAGCACAGGGATTATATAGAATATACACGTTAGCTCTAAACACTATATGGATCTGCATCTGACACGTGACCCATGTTTACATAGAAATGAATAATTCGGTCTAGATGAAAAGTGATAAAATGGATGATTACAACCCACTTTCAATGTCACAATTTAAATCTTGAAAATATCTTGAGAAAACTTGTTACCATGTTTCTTTAAATGAATGATCTTGGCCCCATTTTCAATTTGCATACTATTTTTTTATGACCAAAAGACCCAGGGTCATGAGCAAGTCACCAATAAGTTAGAGTAATATTACAACATGAGGGGAAATAATTAGCACAGATTTCGAAATTTCTTTGAAAAAATGTACATCATACAGAAAGAGATCTGGTAACTGACAATGGATAAACATTAGGGATGGATTTATACATGTATTGGGACTTTCCTTGTTTCCTCCAGATGGACAATAGACAGACATTTAGGATTTTGTACTTTATAATTCATTGTTCCCTCCAGACTGACAATAGACAGACATTTAGGATTTATACATTATATTTCCTTGTTCCCTCCAGACTGACAATAGACAAACATTTTGGATTTATACATTATATTTCCTGGTTCCCTCCAGACTGACAATAGACAGACATTTAGGATGTTGTACACTATAATTCCGTGTTCCCTCCAGACTGACAATAGACAGACATTTAGGATTTTCTACATTATAATTCCTTGTTCCCTCCAGACTGACAATAGACAGACATTTAGGATTTTCTACATTATAATTCCTTGTTTCCTCCAGACTGACAATGGACAAACATTTAGGATCTTGTACATTATAATTCCTTGTACCTCCAGACTGACAATAGACAGACATTTAGGATTTTCTACATTATAATTCCTTGTTTCCTCCAGACTGACAATGGACAAACATTTAGGATCTTGTACATTATAATTCCTTGTTCCCTCCAGACTGACAGTAGACAGACATTTAGGATGTTGTACATTATAATTCCTGGTTCCCTCCAGACTGACAATAGACAGACATTTAGGATGTTGTACACTATAATTCCTGGTTCCCTCCAGACTGACAATAGACAGACATTCAGGATTTGGTACATTATATTTCCTTGTTCCCTCTAGACTGACAATAGACAGACATTTAGGATTTGGTGCATTATATTTCCTTGTTCCCTCTAGACTGACAATAGACAGACATTTAGGATGTTGTACATTATAATTCCTTGTTCCCTCCAGACTGACATTGAGGATTTTGTACATTATAATTCCTTGTTCCCTCCAGACTGACAATAGACAGACATTTAGGATGTTGTACATTATAATTCCTTGTTCCCTCCAGACTGACATTGAGGATTTTGTACACTATAATTCCTAGACTGACAATAGACAGACATTTAGGATCTTGTACATTACAATTCCTTGTTCCCTCCAGACTGACAATAGACAGACAGTTAGGATGTATACATTATAATTCCTTGTTCCCTCCAGACTGACAATGGACAAACATTTAGGATGTTGTACATTACAATTCCTTGTTCCCTCCAGACTGACAATAGACAGACAGTTAGGATGTATACATTATAATTCCTTGTTCCCTCCAGACTGACAATAGACAGACATTTAGGATGTTGTACACTATAATTCCGTGTTCCCTCCAGACTGACAATAGACAAACATTTAGGATGTTGTACATTATAATTCCTTGTTCCCTCCAGACTGACAATAGACAGACATTTAGGATGTTGTACACTATAATTCCTTGTTCCCTCCAGACTGACAATAGACAGACATTTAGGATGTTGTACACTATAATTCCTTGTTCCCTCCAGACTGACAATAGACAGACAGTTAGGATGTATACATTATATTTCCTTGTTCCCTCCAGACTGACAATAGACAGACATTTAGGATTTGGTGCATTATAATTCCTGGTTCCCTCCAGACTGACAATAGACAGACATTTAGGATTGATACATTATAATTCCTGGTTCCCTCCAGACTGACAATAGACAGACATTTAGGATTTGGTGCATTATAATTCCTTGTTCCTCCAGACTGACAATAGACAAACATTTAGGATTGATACATTATAATTCCTGGTTCCCTCCAGGCTGACAATAGACAGACATTTAGGATTTGGTACATTATATTTCCTTGTTCCCTCTAGACTGACAATAGACAGACATTTAGGATTTGGTGCATTATAATTCCTTGTTCCCTCCAGACTGACAATAGGCAGACATTTAGGATCTTGTACATTATAATTCCTTGTTCCCTCCAGACTGACAATAGACAGACATTTAGGATTGATACATTATAATTCCTGGTTCCCTCCAGGCTGACAATAGACAGACATTTAGGATTTGGAACATTATATTTCCTTGTTCCCTCTAGACTGACAATAAACAGACATTTAGGATTTGGTGCATTATAATTCCTGGTTCCCTCCAGACTGACAATAGACAGACATTTAGGATGTTGTACACTATAATTCCTGGTTCCCTCCAGGCTGACAATAGACAGACATTTAGGATTTGGTACATTATAATTCCTGGTTCCCTCCAGACTGACAATAGACAGACATTTAGGATTGATACATTATAATTCCTGGTTCCCTCCAGGCTGACAATAGACAGACATTTAGGATTGATACATTATAATTCCTGGTTCCCTCCAGGCTGACAATAGACAGACATTTAGGATTTGGTGCATTATAATTCCTTGTTCCCTCCAGACTGGCAATAGACAGACATTTAGGATTTGGTACATTATATTTCCTTGTTCCCTCTAGACTGACAATAGACAGACATTTAGGATTTTCTACATTATAATTCTTTGTTCCCTCCAGACTGGTAATAGACAAACACAAACAAATGACTTATATAATGTTACAGCTACGACAGATTTACAAAACGGGTATTTTGAATGGAACTATTATTGACAATAGTGATACGGACTTACGTGTATAGAGATTATCGTTACAAAAGAATAAAGCGACCATATCAGGTTGTGCTGAGGTAAGGGTTGTCGCTATACAAGGACCCGTGATAAGATACATACACAAGAATATATACTCATTGTATGTGTACAACGAATTACTCTGTATAGGAACATCTAACCTAGCTCCTTATACTTGCATAACTGCCTCTCCTACCCTCCCCCCCTCTCTCTCTCTCTCTCTCTCTCTCATGTGAAACATTTTATGCGTGATGACGCACAAATCACGGGTACAAGCTTTAAAAAAGAATTTATCGTGAGTTCTCTGTTACTTTTCTATTTTCTCGTTTCTATTGAATACCATAGTGCGATTTTTTAAATAAAATTTGGTTGTGTGTGTTCTTGCCTGTATCGATAGTATATCAGAATGGATGTATCATTTACAACGTTATAATTACGTCATATATGCCTGCCATTCTGCATCATAGCTAGTATGACAGGAAAAATGCCATGTGTATAAATAATGCGTGTGTAACGTTGGTATAATGATAATGACGTCATGTATTTCGGTGTGTATCATGTTGTAGTATTGTAATATTACGGCATAGACCTCAGGAATAAATAATTCAATTTGATATGATATCTTAAGATCATCTGACTTAGTTTACCACACAGTATAGACATATTTGACACCATCAAGGATATTGGTGGTCATCGGTAAAGGTTAAAGGTGAAAGTTCAGTCTTATCTTTTTTGTCATAGGAAGCTTTTGAACAAGATATTTAACATATTCCTCAACATAATTAGTTTATATTCACATCATAGCACCACATCATCAATTTCTACACCTCTGATTAGATTTTGTAGGTCATCAATCAAGGTTATTGGGTAGAGGTCACTTGGGTTCATGTCCCTATTTTATTTCCCTACTATTTTACAGTGGGGTTTTATGGTGTTGTTACACGTGTCTGTCTGTCAGACCCCATCCAGGAAAAATGTCCTATCTTCTCAACAGAGTGGGTTCATATTCATATATATATTCTGAACCAATGTCAGTAAGGTACAGGATAAATGCCTGCTCTTGCGAATATCTCAACAGAGTCGGTTCATATTCATATTCAGAACCAATGTTATTAAGATACGTAAGCGTGCCAATTTTATAACAACATACAATAAACAACTGCACTTTAGGATCAGACAAGGAATATACACCAAGTATAAACTATAGGGTAAGACTGTCTAAGCGGTTTACTCGGGAGAAGCTTAAGAGGACACTGACCGTAACTAAACGAAAGGTACGTTATCAATTAGAAACAACGAAGTAAAGTCTATCTTATTTAGAGTTATATCTGAACTGTAGCACTCTATTGAAACAGATATTGTTTTCTATTATTTATACCTAGTATTGCATATAACAATCAACTTATCTCTACTGTCACAATAAACAACATTTATTATATAAAACATACAGAACCACATTTCCCACATGTCACTACACGTATTTGTGTACAATGAGAGTCCAGTATCGGGGAAAAGTTTGCGTTTTGATTATAATATAATATTATGAAACAACGTTAAGGTAGAAAATTAATCATTTCACAGGAAAATAAACTTGTCAAATCACAATTACTCAAACCACATGGTATATACCCACTGTCCGTTATATACGTGTGTGCATATAGTATTAATGGCCCAATTAAATCTAAGTTTAAATCGACCGACAATGAATTCTAATGTATGGTGCCATGATAGCCAGACTTCTGTCATCAAGTTTCAGTTTAAACTCTTGTGTATTTACGGCTTTTTAACAACGGTCGCCGTGGGGATATGTTTCACTGTAGGATTATACAGAACATAGCAAATGCGACATAGAGACAATCATATAAATCATATTCAATGTAAATCAACAAAGTCTTCAAAATCAGTAAATCACAATTCTGAATTTGTCAGGATGTAGTTTTGCATGTATTGAAACATAACTTTACCTATAGCGCACCGTGTATTGGGTACCGATCGTGTATATTGTGTTCTATGAACCATGTTTAACAGTGTCTATGGTCGGCCGTTAAGCTTATAGTTCTGCGACGAAGGAAGATAGATCAGAATGATTTTTCGTCACTGCGGTCTGCTGTCCCCTGCGATGATAGATGTCCGAGTCAGTTAAGAAAAACGTGCTCGCGTTTCGGGTGTAATCTATTTTGTTTCAAACCAGAAACGTTATCTATGACGATACGAACATTGTGTCTTTCTCAGGATCTACCAATAGTTATCTTTCTATCAACGAGATTATTGACTTTGAAAATTGAAAATCAGATTTAGAAAATTGAAGGCATTCCATCGGCTCTGTTGTCGTTGGCGGTAAAAGTCAAAGAAATTGAGGTCAAGGTCAGTGATGTTACCTAAGTTATATAGAAACTGAAAAAAAAACAACACCATATTTATCAGTGAAAATGCTAATTCAACAGTCATGAAAAACAAGAACGATATTTCGAAGGTCGAGACTTACTTGTATGGCGAATGTCGAAGAAACTGCTGGTTATGCGGAGAAGGCACGTCTGCAGATCAACAAATCCAGAGGGATGGTCACAGACATGAAACACAGTAACATTTTATTTTCGGGATTACAAGAGAATGGCGGGGAATATACAGAAGCCTTGGCTAGGCAATTTATCTGTAACGAACATTACATAGACGAAATCCTCTGCCTTTCGTCAATATTTTTTATTTAAATAAGTTACCATATTTGATATGAGTTTCCTGGGATTGATGCCTTACAGATTTTGCGGGGAGAAACGACCTAGATCAATATTCAAGGGCCCAAGTCGAATTTGTGAAACACTCAAATGACTTTGCATGTTCTAATGTTAAGCAATGTCGATCGCAGATCTAAGAGTGCTTAGTTGTTCCCTGGTGTACAGGATAATTGTTAATCACATGTTAAGCCAAATGTTCCTAACTTATATCGATAAAATTACACAATTTAGTTTGCAGTGAGAGACGATGGGAACAAAACGCGACATTCCTGCAATTAACATGTTGAGCAATTTTTCCTGGGAATGGAAAGAGATCACCAGCCCTCCTACCACATCTACACTACACCTGCTTGAGGAGGCTCAGCGATATCATTTACGTGTGAGTGACCTGACCACGAGGACCACCGAAGGCATCAAGAGCGTCAAACGGTACGTTGAAGAAATAAACGAGGAATTAAGCTCTATCACAAACCAGGCGAAGAGGTCAATGATAGAGAGCGTGCAGATCATGTCGGATCTCGTTAAAAAATTAGGTAAGAGCATCTCACACCGATATCAGTGACATTGTTTACGTGTGTGATAGATACGGTATAATTCTAGAATTTCCATTATTGAGACACGTGAACCTAACACGGATAAATAAAATCCTAGAATTTCCATTATTGTGACACGTGAACGTAACACAGAAACATAAAATCTTAAAATTTCTGTTAATTACATTATTTTACATGGAGACTTATTTTTCCTCCTTCATTTATGCATCACTCTATTCTGTTTTACTTTGTAGTTCCAACACACGTGACCAACACCAAGGACAGGTACGTCAAGCTGTACTCTATCTTACTTACCTGTAGTGAAAAATTCCAGATTATTTTATACATATTGTATACATGTCATTAGAAAATTCGGAAATCGATCCATGTTCTTTTCTTGCTGTATTTAGTTATGTAACAAATCAAACAAACCTCTTCAAGATATCAAAGAGTTTCAGTATGATTGAAAGTATAAGGAGGTTTTTATAAGCAACGACCTAACCGAACATGAAAGACAAACAAGCAAACTAAGAGACGAAGGAAAATCAGCCAAGGGTTCGGGGTATATTCGTATCGTGTAAACAGATCCGTATGACACAGACAAGATAAAATAAACGGGCTGGCAACACAAATAGCGTTAAGAGACATGATACACACAAGTGAATATCGCCTTTCAAAACGAATTTAATGAATGAAACTGCTGTTTCGTCCGTCAAGGACTTGTCAATGATGTTAAGGACCTATAGTTTGAAACATAGAAGGCAACAGAGGAAAATCCAGATTGGTAGAAAAATGTCAAAATCTAGATGGGATGGTGCACTAAGCCCACCATTGAATGAATTTTATGATAACTGAAATAAATCCAAGAATTTTTAGGTACTTGCCTTACAAAGCTGAATCTGTAATTGAAGAACATGACCTCTTTGAAATGATAAATCGAAAAATCGGCACGAAGAAGGCAGGCTATACTTGAAGTCAGAACTTCACGGAGTAGATGTAGATTACATAAGTTTGGTTCTTAATTTCCATAATTCATATTGGGGTGATGATTATTGACGGTGGTTCAGATATTTGTTTCTTGGGGCTCCTATGTGAGGATGGTGGTTCTATGAAATATAATTCTTTTATTCTATCAAGTACATAAGATAGTAACAATGTACTGTAGTCGATTTGGTTATGCTTTGTTTTCAACACTTGGTGCTCGAGAGTCTGTACCCAACTCCCCCCTCGTCCCTGTTTAGTACTGGCCCACTGCAGTGTATCCAGATGCCCGCCTTGACCAGTCGCTTGAAAAAGTTGTTTCTCCGTTCATAATTTTGGAATTTTCAGAGTCAATGATATTATATTATTCTTCATATTTACCACTATATTGTACTTCTTATTCATCAATATCCTGTTTATCCTATTTACCAATTTAGTGTACCTTATATTTAACATTATACTGTATCTGATATCTACCACTGTATTGTACTAAACTATTTTATTGTTTTCATATTAACCATTATATTTTACTTCATATTAATCATTATCTTTTACCTCAAATGTACCATTATATCGTACCAGATATATGGCACGATATTGTACTTTTCTCTTTGGCCGTCATGTCCTTACACCATGCTATATTGTTCCACATTGCTGTAACAGATCTTAACTTTTAGTTACAATACTGCTGTAGGACACATAATGCAAAAATTGCAAAAGAGCTGGAGAAGGTGTCGGAGGCGGTCGAGCAACAACAAAAACTAACCTCTCTCCTTGAAAGTGTCAATAATTTGTGTGGAAAAGTGCTATCAAATCGGGGGTTAGAAAATGATGACATCAAAGATTTACAAAGTTCAATCGATGACTATGGTAAAACTTTAGAAACCGAAAGACAAAAAAAGGTGAGACTGGAAAAAAGGAGGAAAGAAAAGGAGGAAGCAGCAGAAAAAGAAAAGAAACGTGAAGAGGAAGAAAAACGAAGAAAAGATCCTGACAACTGGAATCCTACAGTGTAAGACTTCGTTCAATATTTTGTAGTTTCCATTTTATGTTGATATTACGCACGTAAATTACCTTCCATAAACACCTTGAACACGCTCACTCTGCATTTGAATGTTTTTATCATGTTTATAAATGACGTTTTCTTAAACATATGTTTACTATGGTGAAATAGAACGTTTTGTCAAACACATGTTTACTACGTTTTGTGCATTTAAAAATGTAAGGATATATACTTATATATGAAAAAGAAAACGTTGTGTTGTATATATCTTTATTTCACCTGTCACTTGTTCCGAGGATGCTTCAATAATAATCCAATGACGTTATATAGACATTTTAGTATAATTGTATATAATCTTACCAAATCGTATAATGATATTCATCTACCTTTGTATAAACAACATGTGATTCATCTTGTTTTCTATAACTAGTTACCATGTTGGATGACCTAAATGTAAATACTTTGGACCAATACTGATTTCAATGATCCAGGTTTAAGGACGACGGATCTACAGCAGACAGATTCACTAACACCGACATACTGTGTGTGATATATGCCATGGAAGGGAAGCTTTCAAGACTCCTCGCTCCAATGTACCAACATGGAAGGAAAGATTAAAGTGTCAGAATGGCTAGATATGCGATATGAAGAACAGGCGTCATGTCCGATTTCGATAAGGAATGTCTCAGTAAAACTAGAGGTTATTATGGATATTTTTGATAGAAGATACAATAGTTTTAGATCCAGGCCTCATGTGACGATATTGCATAACAGATGTTTTTCATGTGATCTATTGGTTCCTGTTGGTGTTAAAATAACTAATTTATATGATTTTCGATTTGACCGATAAATTTGTAATGCTATTTTCTCATGCACTAATAAGGTTTCTGTATATCTTGACAAACAAGGCGCCTATGGAAGTGTACGTGCCATATTCGATTAACGGGAAAAACCGCGAGCCAGAGATCAAGATCTCAATCGACAATGGACCCTGGGCGTCCCCTGATATGCTCACCGAAAGGAAAAATAATGTTTTCCCGGTATGTTAATCGTCCCGTCCGGATATTCTTTATCTCTCATCTTCCAATATGTACTCTAAAGTTTGCACAAAAGACACACACGTGAATAGCACCTTTTGATAATAAAGGCAAAAAATTAATCAAATTACATGATACAGCTGCTTCGTCCTTCTAGGACTCTTCAGTAATGTTAAGGGCCTAAAGTCAGGCGACTGGGGGGAGGGTGGGGGATCCAAAGTGATCGAAAGAAAAATCAAAGCCTTAATGGAGATGTGCACTAGCCATAACATTCAATACATTTCTTAATTTTCATATTTCATATTGGGGGTGATAGTTATGGATGGTGTTTAGGATAATAATTTTAAAGGGGTGATATTTGAGGATGGTGGTTAGGATAATAATTTTAAAGGGGTGATATTTGAGGATGGTGGTTAGGATAATGGTTTAATGGGGTGTTTTTTGAGGATGCTGGTTAGGATAATGGTTTAAAGGGGTGATATTTGAGGATGGTGGTTAGGAAAATGGTTTAATGGGGTGTTTTTTGAGGATGGTGGTTAGGATAATAATTTTAAAGGGGTGATATTTGAGGATGCTGGTTAGGATAATGGTTTAAAGGGATGTTATTTGAGGATGGTGGCTAGGATAATAGTTTTAAAGGGGTGTTATTTGAGGATGCTGGTTAGGATAATGGTTTTAAAGGGCTGATATTTGAGGATGGTGGTTAGGATAATAGTTTTAAAGGGGTGTTATTTGAGGATGCTGGTTATGGATAATGGTTTTAAAGGGCTGATATTTGAGGATGCTGGTTAGGATAATGGTTTAAAGGGGTGTTATTTGAGGATGGTGGTTAGGATAATGGTTTTAAAGGGCTGATATTTGAGGATGCTGGTTAGGATAATGGTTTAAAGGGGTGATATTTGAGGATGGTGGTTAGGATAATAGTTTTAAAGGGGTGTTATTTGAGGATGGTGATTAGGATAATGGTTTTAAAGGGCTGATATTTGAGGATGCTGGTTAGGATAATGGTTTAAAGGGGTGTTATTTGAGGATGGTGGTTAGGATAATAGTTTTAAAGGGGTGTTATTTGAGGATGCTGGTTAGGATAATAGTTTAATGGGGTTATATTTGAGGATGGTGGTTAGGATAATAGTTTAAAGGGGTGATATTTGTTAATGGTGGTTAGGATAATAGTTTTAAAGGGGTGTTATTTGAGGATGGTGATTAGGATAATGGTTTTAAAGGGGTGATATTTGAGGATGGTGGTTAGGATAGCCTTTTTTTTAAGGGTGACATCTGAGGATGGTTTTCGTAATTCTGGTATTGATTGTGGTTATGACATTTAAAAGAAAATTCCTATTGAGAAATGATTGTGATAGAAATTCCATTGTATCATGGATGTCATGTGGATATCATATGCTCTGACCTAACAAGATTCGTATCACTGTAAGATGTTCCAGTATCAGTTAATAAATGGAAACATTATCAATATTCAATCAAACTCTTACATTTACAGAAAGGAGTCAGGTATATTGGTACTAAAGTTGGAGGAAGCTTCAAGTCAGTAAGAATAGTAGTAGTCGCTGTACACAAGGGAAAGAAGATAAAAGTCGACAAAAATGGTTCGACCTTCACGGAAGACTGTATGCAATTCCAGGTTCCTCCAGGGTTCGGGAATGACAATATCAAAATAGGCGTAAGTTACACGTTAATTTGGTTCGATTCAAGGGCCCATCCATAACTTCTAACATCAAAGCAAAGAAGTCTTGTATATTGGTACGTATTAATGCTATAAAGTAAACATGTATTTTGTCTACAGGTATCAAATGATAATGGAACAAATATGAGACAACAGAACAAGTTTCTTGGCGCTCAGGTACACATAGAACTCGATTGTGGGCAAAAAACAACGAAGGACATCAATGTCAAGATATCAGAAGATAAGAGTGAGTGAATTGTCTTTTCTTACAAAAATAATATGTATAAGATTATATGTTAATAAATTCGTTTTCACTTTAAAGCATAAAATATTCATTTTCGATAATTATTTTACGAAATGTTAATTGATTTAATTTTCTCTTATTTCTTCAATTCACAATAAAGAATTGAAAATAATTAATCTGCACCGAAAAAACTTTATTGAGTTTTAGGTTGATAGAAATGAGCGGTAGATGTAAAAGAATCAACCATTTATGTGATAGGTATATACAAATGTAATTGATATATTTCTTGTTAGAAAATCATAATCGATATACCTAAAGGGGAAATTGATTCATTCAATTCGCACCCATTATGCTATAATTAATATTTGAAGGATTTTGTTATCCAAATCAATCTCGTATTATCTACTGCTTTCATCTCATTTCTTTATAGTGTTGTCTCACTGTAAGGAACGGAAGGAGACTTGCAAGGCCCTGAACGAAGTGGTTACGTCTGGAAAGGATATGTCAAACATCCAATTGGATCTTTTTCTTGTGCACTTACAGAGAGATGGCGTGATCACCACTAAGGAAGCAAACGATAACAAAGTATTGAAATATATATTTTAATAGCTATATTTTCGTTAATATGTATTGTATTATTGTACCTAGCATAAATAAGACATTGAACAATTATAGAATTATGTTTATCACATAACTACCCTATTATCGGTGTATTAACACCATATACATAAATATTTCTTATAAGACATTTATAAAATGGCCTAGTGAAGCGGTGATTGACTGGAACATAGCTTCCTGGGGTCATTTAAATAGTGGCATGACATAGAGTTAGAATGATAACATTTTAGTTTTTACATCAGTTTGATATAATGCTGTTCTCTCAACGTGTTATAAATGTATCCAAGTTAAGTGATAAACAGAGTCTTGAATTTTGATTTTTATCTCGCTAAATGTTTTCATATTTTGACTGGTTTAACAAATTCATATGACTGGAAACCTGTACAAGATCCTCTATTTTTGTGAAGATTGCGTAAAAGACACGTAAAAGTCAAGCACTATCTAATGCAAATTTATTCAAAGTAAGTCAGAGAAGAGCTTACTATAGAATAAATTACACCAAGAAACTGTTTCATCACTTCCCTTACTTACGAGTGATACTGAGGGCCTACATTTTGAAACCCGACATACGGCTGAGGGATAACAAAAGTGATCAAATGTGAAAACCTAAAAATAGGAAGATGCATTTGCCCGTAAATACCATATATTTTGAAAATTGTGGAACAACGTCAAATACACGTGTATATTGTGAACAGTGCCATTCCGCAAATGAATTATAACGCGGCATGCAGGTTACAGCAAACATTGCGGACTTAAAGTCCACTTGTAGTTTGACAATTGCATAACCTGATAATGGAAACTATAATTTGAAAATTAATATAACCAAATTATTATGGAAAAAGGTATAATTTAATTTCATTTTTACCAGAATCTGTTGGATATGAAGAAAAGGACAAAACATCTGCTCGAGATGATTCTACAGCGACCATCGGCAGCTGAAAAGGTCTTGGTATGCTTAGACAAGTCAGGAAATAGTCACATAGCAAAACAGATTCGACAGCTGATTCCGAAAAAATCCGGCAATACAGCTGCAGATGGTAATGTTAAATACTGACACTGTATAAATATTTTATTTCCCTATTAATATCAAGTCACACTATCAACGATCAGATTACGGCATTCCATTGTAGACATCTATAAAACCCAGTCAGGGGAAACACTCAAGAGAAGGTCGTTATCAGTGTTACTCTATTGATGTACAGCTTCTCGAAAGAAGGTCGTTATCCTTGTTACTCTATTGATGTACAGTTCCACTAGAGAAGGTCGTTATCCTTGTTACTCTATTGATGTACAGTTCCACTAGAGAAGGTCGTTATCCTTGTTACTCTATTGATGTACAGTTCCACGAGAGAAGGTCGTTATCCTTGTTACTCTATTGATGTACAGTTCCACTAGATAAGGTCGTTATCGGTACAGCTACACAAGAGAAGGTCGTTATACTTGTTACTCTATTGATGTACAGTTCCACTAGAGAAGGTCGTTATCAGTGTTACTCTATTGATGTACAGTTCCACTAGAGAAGGTCGTTATCAGTGTTACTATATTAATGTACAGTTCCGCTGGAGGAGGTCCTATCCTTGTTACTCTATTGATGTACAGTTCCACTAGAGAAGGTCGTTATCCTTGTTACTCTATTGATGTACAGTTCCACTAGAGAAGGTCGTTATCCTTGTTACTCTATTGATGTACAGTTCCACTAGAGAAGGTCGTTATCCTTGTTACTCTATTGATGTACAGTTCCACTAGAGAAGGTCGTCGTTATCCTTGTTACTCTATTGATGTACAGTTCCACTAGAGAAGGTCGTTATCCTTGTTACTCTATTGATGTACAGTTCCACTAGAGAAGGTCGTTATCCTTGTTACTCTATTGATGTACAGTTCCACTAGAGAAGGTCGTTATCAGTGTTACTCTATTGATGTACAGTTCCACTAGAGAAGGTCGTTATCAGTGTTACTCTATTGATGAATAACAACATTATTGTATTACAATGTTATATGTAAGAAATAACATAGATTGCGATGCTTCCTTGGATGCCTGAGGTACATGATGGAAGCTAACTAGCACTGAATCACTACCTTAGACATAGATTGTACTTTCTCGTTGATGTTCCTGATATATACTCTAATTTCAAAGTAATTGTTCCGTATTATTTCTGATTAACTGATGTTTCAGTTTTACAATATATTTTACTATTGTTTGCTATAAACCCGTAAAATCGTATCTTGTTTATTGACTGGTATTGTATTAACAATTTCAACGTGGCTATGTCCATTTGTACTTCAATAATACCATTATTAGAAAAATGGCGTTCAGTATTGGTTTTCCGCGGGGATGATGGAACGTGGAAAGTGCTTGATCCAAAAGTGGCTAAAAAGCTTCAGAGAGAGCTAGGATGTGCCTTACCGGCGGGTAACAGACGTTTTGAGTAGGTGTTTCTCCTATTTATTAAGGATTCATTGAAATATTTGTATTAAACTTTATACTGTTATATTATCATTATTGATAAAAAATATGTCAGTCCTCCACTGTGCGTTTATGAGAACAATTGTGTTAGGTATATGAAGTTGTATATCTGGAGGATGTAGGATGTAATTTTTAATTTCCCAAGTTATTACAAACACTTGTCACAGACAAAACACCTGAATCATTTTAAAAGGAAATCCAAAGAATATACACTATCTACCAATGTCAAAGTTCCGGATTAATTGGTCTCTGCAATCTGTACAGGTTGATATCCCTGACTGTCTCTGATGACTCGACAGAGAAAGATATTGAAGAAATCGCCAATGAGTTCAGAAACCGGGAGATTGGTACGACCGTAACACTGGTCTGCAGGCATAAAGCAGACGACTATCAAGCCGAAAGCTTTGTGCACATCCTTTCATCAGAGGGAGCATCAAGGGAAATCACTCGACTGCAGGAACAAGGATACACCAGAGGCCCAATGGAATTGGCTGATTTTAATGTCATGGACGGGGAAACCGTCGAGTTGTATATGTCTGGTAATATCGGACTGGAGGACAAAGGTAGAAGGTTACAACAAGGAAAGGTAACGGATTTACTATACAAAGCCCATAAAGACGTTTGCAAACTGAACTTTAATATATACGTCGTCGACAAAACATCTCCAGGTCAAATGGATGACGACAGGTATCGAGGACTGCTTCATTACAGAGTCAGAGCTAGGGAACCTCTTAAGGAGAGGACTGACGCGGTCGAGGTAACCTGGGTAAAGGTGAGATTGTAAGGGGATTAAGAAAATGAGGTCGAAGTAATCATATCAGATGTGTGATGGTATGGCTGAATCAGCCGAGGTAATTATATCGGATGTATGATAAGGTTGAAGCAACCAAAGTTACCTTAGCAGGTGTGTGATGGTAGGACTGAGGCGACCGAGGTAACCGTAAGAGGTGTGCGTTGGTAGGGCTGAATCAGCAAAGGTAACCGTATCAGGTATGTATAACAGTGGTGACACAGTAGAAGTAACCTTTGAATGTTTATATAACAGTGGTGACACTGTAGAAATAACATTTAGATGTTTATATAACAGTGATGACACTGTACAAGTAACCTTTGAATGTTAATATAACAGTGATGACATAGTAGAAGTAACCTTTGGATGATTATATAACAGTGATGACACTGTAGAAGTAACCTTTGGATGTTTATATAACAGTGATGACACTGTAGAAGTAACCTTTGGATGTTTATATAACAGTGATGACACTGTAGAAGTAACCTTTGAATGTTTATATAACAGTGGAGACACAGTAGAAGTAACCTTTGGATGGTTATATCAGAGTGATGAAACATTAGAAGTAGATTAATATTCTGGATGAAGGTTACCTGTGATTAGTAAAATTGACAACAAAATCCTGATTCATGTATTGTTTTCTTATTTTCTTAATTTCTTAAACAAAGGTATGATATAAAAAAGCAATTAACAAATTTAATGTAAAAAATTGCTTTGTTACAAAATCCGATAAAATGGTTTGTTAAACGTGCATAATTGACCACAGAAAATCATGTTCACGTTTTCCCTATTATCATCAAATTTTATGATCTTAAACTATTTTACCTAAAGGAAACTGAGGTTAAGAATAACAAAAAAAGTTAAGCTTCTGAAAATAAAAGACAATAATTCTAATAAAAATCGCAAAAACTTCAAATTATATATGTCGTTGTTCTGGAAGATAAATCTAATATTCCCATATGTTTATTTTTAGGTGTCGAAGCGCTATTTAGCACACTTATCTATGAATGGAGACAGTAAGTATTTTTTTTCCAAATATCTTTCGAGAAATATTGAAATGTTGGGAAATAGTACTACAGTATTACTGTATATAGTGAGTATATGTTCCACCTTTTTTTCTTCTACATCACACATTGTGACCTGTGTAGATGTCTTATAGGTATTTACCTACTGTTATTTGTAAAAATTCTACAAAATAAGTTTTAGTTTTCGTGTATTGTACAGTGCAAGCGCTGGGCAAATTCGTCAGTTCAAAGATGGCTAACGGGCAGGAAATGCACCGTGTGTTTGTTACCATGGACACGCCGAAAACAGTGAAAGAAATAGAAGACCGTGTTGAGAGACAATGCAAGAATGACACAGATATCATCAAATACGAGACAACGCTGTTCATATGGGCAAATCAAAACAAAGACGAAAAAGACATACAGGTGACATCTCCGTATTATCAACCACGCATAAATTAAAACTATATCAGCAATCATAAATTCAGGAAATGATCATGGAAAACTTCACATTGGTACATTTAAATAAAACTCTGGAAGGGGAAGCAATCATCATGTTAATCCAGGTTCAACAATGTAATGTAAGGTTCTCAAAATTCAGATCGAGGTAATGAACAACTGAACAACCAGACACAGAAACAAACAGACCACAAACGTAATGAACAAGGAATCCGATTGTTTTTCAATGAGTTGATGGTGATCATAAAATTTCTCCTCTTGAAAGCAACATTATTCCTTTCAACTGTTGATATCATTCAGACCATCAAATATCAAAATACATTTCGACAAGTAAACACTTTAAACTTGGATGCAGGAATTTGCTATCTTAAACGAATATTAAAATATATAATAAAAATCCAATAATCACGTCTGTATTGACAACGTAACATTTATTTGTCTCTGGGAAGTAGTAATAACTGATTGTTTTATAGATTGAGAAGATTCTACATGCTGTTAAAAGTTACTCATGGTGTGACGAAGCCCGTCGGTTTGTCAGATTCTACACGAAATCAGGTAACAATCAGTTTGTTTTCATTGAATCTGGTCCTTTAGAGCACAGGGATGGGGCTCAAAACAGAAATGGAGGAAACACCTCAAGTGTGAAGGTTATTTATCGATATTTGTTCTTGTTTAATCCTGAGTGAATATGACTCAATGTTACATAACCGGAAGATCTGACCTCATCGGACAAACAAGGACACGTCCGACAAGTGAAATATAGATCTTTAAAATTCATTCATATTCTTCTGTTCAGAGGTGCGGGTGGGTTATGAGGGGTTGGCAATTGTGGGTAAATGCGTTCAATTCCATCTATTTTTTGTAGGTCTGTTCTCGGAGATGTCACTTCTGGCAATGTCAAAGCTGTTGGGGCCGGAATGGAAGGATTTGGCGGTCCTTCTGAAAATACCACAGGTGCAGATCGATTATATCAAGACCATGCAGCTCAGTGAACAAGACGCGAAGGGGAAAATGCTTGATAAGTTCCGCCTGACACACTACGCCATCGGCTTCGGCGAAAAACTTCCGGATGTATTCTTAAAGTCCCTTCAGCAGTGCAAGTGCAGTGACGAACTTCTGGCGTACGTGAAGTCGAAACTGAACTGACTTTTTTTACATATATTAAAAGACATTGCCCATTTTAATGATCTTGCTCTACTGAAAACGAGGGTTGTCATCGTCGGTGGAAAGATTACAAAACTGATTACGAAAATTAATTTAATTCACACAAACCCAGCCCCCCTCCCCCCTCCCCACACACACACACGTTCGGAGAAAGATTTCTAAATAAAGCATATAAAATACATTGAGTAATATTCATGTGTAAGAGATAGCATAAACATGCAATGCAAGCAATTTAACAAGAATACTTAATACATTTTAATATACTTTCGTCTAATTTCAATATATGATGGACATTGTAAGATGAAATGGGACTCGTCTTCAGTTTCATTTCACTTCATATATTCTACGTGTCCTCTCAATGTTGTGATAGCGACCATTTTCAAATATTTAACTGGTGTGAAAGCAATCTAATACTAACTATACATTTTACATACATCCTCAATAGGCTTCAGTAAGGAAAGTAATACGGCAGACAAAAATGGTCAATTAGATGTTTATATAGGTCATCTGGAGCAGCATTAATATGCCTTGCTCTTATGCCTCAGTATAACAATATTTAAATATTTGTTCTATTATTCTGTACATATTATTATTTATACATTTAATGTTCCAAATGTATGATGAACCTAATATATCAATTTCTTGTGTGATTTTGTATATCTACTTATATTTCATAGTAATCTATTTATACACCGTCGCTGTCTACCAAGATCTTATTATTCAAAATCAGAACCTATATTATTTTGACACCAAGCAATCGTATACAAAACCCAGAATGAAGTTTCTCTATATCTGGTACGTTGTGAAAGCCCCATATCTCGTTTCCATATTCTAGTATGCTATTGACATATGTATCAAACACAATTAATTTACTTTTAATTGCGAATAAAAAGCGTGGATAGCAACATGTTTCTGAGTTACGTTGAATTAATTAACTATAGCGATTTATTGGTTGTCCACTTTTCTGCATCTCTTATATTCCCACTATTTCGAAAAATGATAATCTTAGTTTTGGAGGCATCAAATTTTAACTTCCATTCTAAGTTGTATACACACAATGAATATTTAAAGTTTCTGCAATGCTTCTGGTTTCTCTGCAACAAAAGTGTTTTCTTCAGTGTCCAGACTGCAGTTTATTGATATGTTTGAACAAAACAAAAACGGCCTTGTTAGGGTCACCAATGTTTCAAAAATGGTCCCTTTGACTCTAGAATTACGCTTACTTTCTCTCATCACTTTCTCAATGATAGTTTAAAAAAATCCTGATTAAAAAAAAGTTAAAAAAATTCTAAAAGACAATTTTATTTTTCCAAATTTTACACTACCATACCCTATTTATAACTGAAAACTTAATTCAATCAGATTTCTATTAAAATAATGTAATGTTGTGTAGCTGACAAATGATTATACGTGGTATTGCAATAAAATGAATTTTAAATTATTATATTTCTTTTTAAATATTGAATAGTGTTTTGTCATCATTCAACTTTCATATCAATATTGTTAATATCCATCCGGGCAACCGCTGTAAAATGAAGTTAGTTTCCCAACCGTAGCTAAGATGTAATGTGGTAAATAATGAACATGTAAATATGAAATTAGGTTAAAAATTGCAAAGAATATCGGTCGTTTGAAATTAGTAGCATTCTAAATAGCATTTGGCTACCACTCGGTCAGTGTACAAATATTTCTTCGTTGGTACATACAAACCCCCATCCATGAATGACAATACTTTCTCAAACGATCTGACTACCGATAGTATTTTCATAAAATTCGTCAATGTTATGATTTTAGAAGATCTGAAATTTGACTGTCTTGATGAAAGTAACGGCAAACATCTTCTGGACCTCACTAGTAAAATTACGAAAGTTACTTGTTTTATGAAGGGTTGTGTCCCTTCTTTAGTTGATGTCATTCTCACTAACTGCCCTAGCCTTTGTTTAAACCAATACGTTTTAACTGTGGTCTAAGTGACTGTCACAACTTAATTGGAACTGTTATAAGAGGTCCAGCACCGTGTTTACCTCGAAGTAAGTGTAAGTTTAGAAGTTTTAGAAATTTTGAACCAGATGTTTTTAACTCAGAATTCTCTAAAGTTCCTTTCCATGTGTCTTACATTTTTGATGATACAGAGGATATCTACTGGGCTCATGATAAGTTAATGGGAGAAGTTGTTGATGCCCTTATACCTGTTAAGGAACGTAGACTAATCCAGAGAAATTTCAAACGATTTGTTTTGGTAAGAAGACAAGCAACTCTGTAAATTCTTTTGATATTGAAGGTTTGGAGATATCATATCAAGAAAGTGTCAAATCATTAGGTATTGATATTGACTTTCTTCTTAAATTTGATATTCATGTTTCTCGCCTTTGCAGAAATGCTTCTAAACGACTTGCCGTTTTAAAAATACTGGGAAATAATCTTACCAAGAAAGGAAAAGTTACTATTTTTAAGTCTTTTATATTGTCAATTTTTAATTATTGTCCCCTTGCCTTTCATTTTTGTACACTAACAAATACTAGGAAAATGGAGAAAGTGCAGGAACGTGCTCTTCGTTATATTGAAAATGACAATACATCTCCAGTTTCTGATATTTTAAGAAAATTTAAACTTGATTTTTTATATGTGGTACGTATTAAGTGTATGGCCTCTGAGGTTTTTAAGATTTTAAGTGGCATGTCCCAAACCATTTTAAAGGCCTTATTGAGAGGTATGAAGTATTTTATAATCTTAGGCAGGATAATCTGGTAAGGATTCCAAAGGTGAACAACTCCACGTATGGGAAGAGGTCTTTCCGGTTTACAGCTTCCTAGGTTTATAACAGCTTACCCAATCAGATGAGATTAGCCAAGAATTACGACTCTTTTCTGAGGCTGCTACACACCTGGGATGCTGAGCTCTGTTCCTGTGCTTTCTGTACACATGCTACTGTGTAAGTTATTTCCCTTTTGAGTCCTTCACCAGCACTTGTTCATTTAACTAACATTGTATATCATGTCAATTTTCATGTTTTGTTATGCTAGCATATATATGTAAATTACACTTGGATAGTGTGTTAACTTCAACATTTAGTGATCCTTGTGTGAGATACAAGAATCCATTTTTAAACTGTTTCCTTTTAATTATTATATCTATGACTAAACTAACTGCGATATATTGATACTGATACTGCACTGTGATGTTGTTAATATTTTACCTATGTTTGTCGCAAGAATAGCACTACAGTGCTAATGTTTGTCCTATTTGTAATATGTGACTTTAAATAAAACTTCTTGACTCTTGTGTTTCCACTCAGTTCGCACTCACTTGTATGTGACTTTTTCGTCTTAAAGATACATAGGATGTTCCTGCATTTTACCAGAGATTAACCTGTTTTTCAAACAATTCATTTCTTCACATTTGGTGAAAACATTGAAATGATGTTGCTAAAAATGATAAATGTGTGAAATTTTAATAACGTGAATAATTAAATTAGGGGAAAAAATACATATAAAAACTACAAACGAATATATCGGATATAATATACTTAGATATATTAAATAGTAAAGCAATAATTTTAATTTGTATTTAGAACAATCAACCATACGTTTATAGTGTAAACTGACAAGTAGAATATTATCAAAATAAATCTGTCCTCATTGTGATACAAATGATACAGGTATGCCCAATAGATCAAGGTGAAATTAAAAGCTAATATCAGTCTACACCTGAACATAAGAAAATTCAAAATATCGTTACATCAGTCAAAATGCAATTTTGTTTAAAAAAACTTATGGATTCCAATCATAACAGAATTTAAATACACCATGAATGTGTGAAAAGGTTTTAGTAATATTTGTCCTCCATGATACGATGTGATATAAAGTATGTAACGACAATATAACAACATATAATATGATAAAACATGATATATAAAATGGTGTAAAAGGTTTACATGTATTCTATATGCTAATAGTATTAATTACTTTGTTTTACACATATATCACATACTTATGTAAAGTAACTGAACTATTAGCATGCTATAATCTAGAATTCGAAAATTATTAATAATCAATTATTTGAAGTATGATAAATAACATAATATTTACAAAATCAATATATATTTTTTGACATTTATATCTTACAAAAAGTGTAATAAGTTTTCAAAATAGAAAATGAAAATGCTGAAAATATCAGTCACTGAGTACCAACAGGTAAGTTTTTACAGGTAAATTTACCATTAAGAACTGACACTACTTTAAGGGAAAACTATATTTACTATCAAAACAAATTGTCCTGTAGGGATATTTAAAATATTGGTATTCAGAGATACACCAGAATAAATACTGAGATAGCAATAAAAGCCAAGTGGTCTGAATTGTAAACTCAAGCATTGTCGCGATACATGTAATTAAAAATTTTAATAATCATTTCTTGATTATGATATCCATTTTATTCATTTATGCAATGATAAATATACAATGACATTGTTGTAATTTGAGAAGTCACTATTGATACTAAAGGTCCTTGACGCATTAATATGTCCACGTGATGTAAGAGTGTATGTATTTTAAAACCTCCCTGGCCGAATTATTGAATTATGTACAGGCTTGCTTCGACCGAACCAGGAAGTTAGTAAACAAAGAATTCGTTTACAGAATCGACAGTTTAAACCGGTCTCCTTACAGCAATTTACCGTACGTCAGGCACGGATACCGTTCTTCGGCGATATCAGAAACATTGAAGGTAAGGCTCTTAGCATTTTTACATCATTTACAGTGAAATGAGAGAAATTTTTAAGGTTTGAACTAATATATATAAAAATAATCCATTAAAATTACACAACACCAATATATATATATATAATCTTTAATTATGATGAAACAAACAAGGATGTTAACAAAAGTATTTTTTCTCAAACGAGTGACACACATACCACGTAACTGAAATAGATGTTAATTAAATTCTGTTTAATTCTGCAATCAATAGTCCAATCAGCGCGGTTATTAGCATTAAACTTATTATCTATTAATCAGCGATATTGTGCCTATCAAAATCCAATATATAAACCACATGAGATACATCCTATATACCGGGATATAGACATACATAGAATCGCCTTTTATAAATGCCATCCTTAAGTAGATAAGGGTGGGTTGATTTTTTTTCATACATACGCAAAATTGTATATGGCCTTCGGTACCTCGAACACTTACAATCATCTTGTTTGATTTGAATTAATACATCAGAACTTGTTCAAAGCATACAGAGCAGACCAGGACATGCGTCTTTGTTCGGGTTCCTTCTTGCCCGGTATGAATCGCCTCAGCCCTAGCTTGTCCTCTCTAGAATGTAGTGATTCTAGGATATCCACTTCAGGACAGAGCATCCGAACCCTTTGAATATGAATCTCCACAGCCCTAGCTTGCCCTCTCTAGAATGTAATAAACCCATACTGAGAGGAAAAAGAAACGCAATTAGGAATTTCCAGGTCAACTACGGGAAAAAGAAAAGGGTTTTAGAATGTAATTATGGTGTAACTGGAAGATAGTTGACCACTCTGTCATCTACGAGAATTTCATTCGTGTACGTTAAGTGAACCTTTCAAATTTGACGTTGATTCAAGAGTACCTCGGTCATTCGCTATCACGCAAGCATCTGCATAGCGCTCATGGGTACGTCTATAGACACGACGACGGCCGTCTGCCCGGTAAAGCGATAACCTGGACTCATCTGAGAACAGGATCCTTCTCCAACGTTGCCGCCAGAAAGCGTAGGTGCGAAAGTCCCATTGCCCTATCCTACCGACGCGTCGTTACATGAGGGCGACCGTTTCGAGGACGGTCTGCAACCCTTTCGGTGACATGTAGTCTTTGGATGAGACGGCAAATGTTCGATGGATGGACTACAAATTGATTAGCGACCTGATTTTGCGGGGTACCTTGCATAAGAAGTGCAATGGCACGACCCCTTTCAACTTCGGACAACCGTGCATTTTTTACAGTGAACTGTTTATGCTTAAAATGTGGGAAATCAAGACGGATATGTTTGAAGATTCGCACACAAAGATTTTGAACCAATCCTTTATACTGGGTTCGAGATATCGTGCTTTCGTCTCTCATTCTTTTGTACAAGCGGCGTGCGCAGTTTAGTTCTGCATCAGTGATTTTAATACGGTACCATAGGGACATAACTCAAATGCACACATTTGTCAAGTTTCAAGGGTGTACGGCAAGGATTTAATTTACAATATTAACATTCTGCTAAGTGCGTTTCTTTTTCCCCTCAGTATAGGATATCCACTTCAAATGCTGTCATTGTCTCACAGTAAGGCATAAAAATCCACGAACATGTAATACAGTGAGAATTTCCTTCCGTTGTAAAATATAAACCATTTGTATCGGGTTTACAAATTAATCTTATATAACAGTGATCACATGTAAATTTGAATGGCGTGTTCTGTACAAACCTAACTAACAAAAAACCTAAACAATGCAGAATGATACTGAAACCAAACCAGGAAGTCAGAATGATAAATTTTGAGTTGATGATGTCTTCTTTCGGATTGGCGGTAAGATAATCTAACTTACTATTTGGAAAACGATGGAAATAAACAACCTCTTTCTCTTGACCAGCTTTTCTCATACGAGGCTGAATTTGTCAGAGATCTTATCAAAATATGTCACATAGAGCTTATCAAGTCCTTTAATATCACCTTTTAATTACAGAGACGATATATCAGCAATACTATTGTATATACCAACTTAAACAGGAAATCAATGACATGACAGACTCTTCTACATCAGCAATGTACAGCGATACCAACAGAACCAAAAGAATACTTGTGATAATTTAAATTACCCTTCTCCTTTCTAGATAGTTATATTCCTGTTTCCCGTATTTATGAAATTCACAAACGTGTTTCATATACCATAATTTCCTGCATGACATCGATAACTGACAGAAAAATAACTCACAAAAATAGGAAATCGAGAAATTCGGGTTGATGAAAATTATTAGACATTTTATGGTCGCTACAATGATCTCATTGAGAAACATTAATTTTACAATTGATGTGCAGTTTGACATTTTTAATGCTCGTCAGTAAGACTTGTGTTAACCGTGTTTGAGTTTACTTTATATATAAATCAAGCAAATAGTTTAACGTGTTTTTGTGGTGATATCACAGTCAAAATCAATGGTCAATATATGTTGAAAGTAAGTCTCGTATTCGTGTACGCATTTAGTCAGAATTTGTTGCGCCATATAAAAATCCAGTCTTATTTACATGATTTTCACGTCCCAAGTGTTATCCATTGACTTCGTTGACAGGGAACTATTAACGTGTCTGTTAACACAATAATAATGGATCGCTCTATTCAATTGCATAATGTGTGTATATCAATCGTCTTTCCTCAAGAGAAGTTAATGCACACACATATATATATTGACGGCACATCAATGCACTTTATTTAAGAAAACATGTCAATGTACGACTTTACCTGATAGAATATTTAGCAGATGTCTGCATTATTTTTTATGATTAAAACGAGCTCGAATTTTCTACTATTCAATAAAATGTCCAATATATTTCTGAAATACCACTTATAATGACTTTATTGCAGCATATTATATTTCTTGTATATTTAGGAGGGTTTTTTTTTTAAAAATAATTATCTTCTGTTGGGTAATGTGTCCGATTTGTTTAACACTCAACAGAGTGACTGAAATGTTTCCAAATTACCGTTCTACCAGTACAGTTTCGTATTTTGAAACTAATTCATTAATGTCTTGACATAAAGTCTAGTCTAAAAAAGGAACTTAAAACTGCATAAACCTCTATAACGCTTGCACTTTGTGAGAAAGCGGTGTCATACAGTAACATCATTTTGTGTGATCGGTACATTTTTCAGTTGAATAAATTTCGTAAATCGTAACAAAGAGTGCTAATCTTTTAAAAACAAAACACTGTAAAAGTGGATCTCCATCAATCTTGTATATATTGTCTATAGTTATTTCGTTATCGTTAAATTAGAGCGACCGATATTCTACAAATGCTGACACGATATGATCTCAAACTCGAAATCGAAGTCAAAACATAAACAAAACAATGTTCTACATAAAGATCAATTAAAACGTACAAAGCTAACCAGACCAGGTGTTTCAAAATGGAAAAGCGTCTTCTTCTTCAACACGTGTAAATCTCATTCACTTAAAAATTAATTTTGTGTTCTCAAATGAGAATGACGTTAACGAAATCATCCGATTATCGAACTTCATGTCGTACATGAAATAATCATATTGTGATTTGTCTGTCGGTTGTAGACATTACATAGAGTCATAGCATTTGGAAAAATCACCTGAATATCGAAAGAATCGCCACATGTGAACATGTTTAATTTATATTCACTAATGTCATATATTATACCTGATTAGATTTTGACGACGGTTTCAGAGCCGACACTTTACGTCTTTGGAAATAAAAGTTTGAGTAAAAAATGTCTCTTGAACTATTATTGAAAAAAATTCCGTAGTCCATTAAGATAAATCGTTATATTACCACTACAGGTCTATGAACCCCTCAACAAAATTTATATTCACATCACATTATCGGTGCAATTGTGGTGATCCAAAGTAGCAATTTTTAAGTTTTTAACGAGTAAACGTGAATGATTTCTGTTTAGTATCCTCGGAATCATAAAACGTAACGTTGACATTTCCACTCGTGCAATACAATATTGAGTAATTGACATGTCTATAGAAGCAATAAATCTTTTTATTTAAATCGATTAAACAAAGTTCTGTTTGCACAGCCCGAAAAGATATATATGTTGTTGACAAAATATGTTTTTACAGAGGGCTATCCATTTTATTGCATTGGTACGCATGTTGTTAGTCGCGTAGATATTTACTATAATGGGTCATAGTCTGCCACTTCATGAAGCGTAGTATATATATAGAAATATGTCAATGAACATGTTTAAATATCACATTTAATATAAGGTGCTCTGGTTTCCTCATACTTTTCCTGCTGACAAACCAAGATCATTGCCTGTAGAAATATGATAAAAATGTCCAAACCAGTTTACACATTATGCTGTTAAGACAAGGCACATTTCAAACATGCATTTTTTATAGGTTACGACTTTTCGGCGTTCAGAATCGAATCGAATATTCATTAACTGTTCACAGTATTTATTGCGTTCATTAAGAAAAAACTTTTGACCGTTGTTGTTTAATTACTGATTTTCGCAGGGCTTTTAGTATCATTGATTTCGTGGGAACTCATTACCAAAGAAAGTACAAGCAGTTAAGAGCATATTAATTCTGCACAAGCGATGTTGCAAGTTCCACCTGGAAACGAAATCAAATGTCATAGAAAATGCTTTCCATGGCAAACTACGAAATTTGCGATTCACGAAAATATAGGATAATTAGGTAACTGGGGAATCCTATATTTGAACAGCATGCAATATCATCGTTTTTTTGCAGTGAAGAGAAGATGGGAACACAACGTGACATTCCTGCCATAAAACTATTGACAGGATTATCCCGGGAATGGACCGGCATAACCAGTCCTACCAAATCTACAATAGAAGAGGCACAGCGGTACCAGTCATGTGTTAATGATCTGACTGCGAAGACCTCGGACGGCATCACGAAGGTCAAAGGTTATGTTGAGGATGTGAACGAGGAAATAAGTGCAATAAGAGACAACGTGAAGAGGTCAATGATAGAGAGCGTGCAGATAATGTCGGATCTCGTCAAAAAATTAGGTAGGTAAACCTCTCATCGATATCAGGGACACGGCTTATGAGTACGAATAAGTAATACCCTAAGATATAATAGGTACATATTATACAAACAGTTTTGTTTTCCTTCAAGGATTAACTCTATCATTTCCTTCTACAAAACCAACATAGACAGCTTTCCACCAAGCTGTATGATAAACGTGATGATTTCAATTTCCCTTTTGAAAATTTTCCATTTCTTGATAGCAGCATCTCTATACCCCCAAACCTATGGTGTTTACATGATACAGTTGATTCGAAATTCAAGTGCCTTTTACCATTAGCACGATTTGCGTGCAAGTTGTTCAATATATGTATTCATCTTATCAACTTGTAGAAGCACTTTGTAGGGAACTAGATGAGATGTGTCCTATTTCCAGTTAGGAGTCCTGTTAGTATTTGTATGAAGTCAAACGTAAGAAGTTCGACATTTGATAGCGCTATTTCAGATCAAGATAACGGTATTCATTACTAACAACATCAGGCTTTAAAGTCGATACTCAGTTAGATTTTTCAAATTTGTTTTAAATGAAACTTTTAGAATCAACTTCAGTAGGCGCATATTATACCCCTTATTTTATGTCATTGTTGATAAAGAGAGGTTAAGTAGATTTTATAGTGTGAGGAATATTGTCATATTGTCATGGTTATTATAATTGAAATTGAAATTCCACAGTCGTCAACTGAAGGACAAAATCGAAACAGGTTTTCAAACGATGCAGGTCGATACGAAATATGGGAAAGTTTTACCGTCGTCATAGTGATCTCATCGTAAAATATTCTATTTCTTTGTGCGATATGTAGTTGGATGTGTTTGGTACTCCTTAGTTTGCCAGTTCGTTCCGTTGTTGTACGTCTTGTTCTCATTTGAAAATGTGACTTTTCTTACTTGGATTGATCACGATTTACATGGTAGGCGTTTTTAGTACAAACTAAACTAAAACAATATTTAAAAGTCCATGATTAGAAATGATAACATATTTAGGTAAATGACATCAGGTGAGCCATACACACTCATTAACTGTAGTCTATTTTCCCTAACAGTCCCGACACCTAGTAGCCAACAGAAGCATGGTTATGGTCAAGTCAGAGACGATGGGAAATCGTAAGTACTTAAAGCTTGATTTTATACATAAACGTGAGAAATACAGATAAAATATTGAAACATTGAAGGCATAGGACATGGATATTTCTTAGAGGTGGCAACATAGCAACAAATTCTACAGTAAGAGCTATAGATTGATCCATGTATACGTGAATCAATAAGTGGGTCAATATTAGCACATATATCCAATGTTGATAATACTAGCACGGAAATACTTTCTATGGTTAACTTAATTTCATGGAACGTTCATTAACTCCAGGTATTTATCCTTATCAGCATTGCCTCTAGAGTTTAACGATAGTAAATTAAAAGATATCATATATTACATGAAGTAACATGACCACTGATTGAAAGTTTGTTTGCTGTTTATACATCAACGTTGGTATACCTGGTGCATCTATCCACTGCTTATACTGAAATACTAGGTCTGTTTGATTTAAATTCCATTGCATTTAAGAAAAATCCGTTTATGTCATGTCTATACACAACAAAATAATGTAAAAGAATTTATTATCGCTCGGCTAGAGCCAAACACACAGCATGTCAACAGGTCAATATAACGGTAATATTTCGTCAGGTGTGTGGGGTTCACTGTCATCATAGCTATCTCTAATATGCAATGTGTTAAGGCAGTTGTCTGTGAAATGTCCCAGTCATGTGTAATTATTATTGTTGTTGTATGGCGTAACTGTTTTGTTTACAGCACAACTTTCTGGATTTCCCCCCGCATAGACCAAAACTGAAAATGACCGACTTTTTTTTTTACATTTTAGAATTAAGATCAGATATGTGATCCAGAAGTAAACAAGTTGCCAAATACCTACCAAGCCTCTTGTTTTGCATGTTGTTTAGAATCAGTATAATTGAAAAGATTTTATAAAAATATGATTTTGATTACAATTTTTAATCGTCCCTTTGATATTACAACATGACTTGCATCATTCTACGAAGTTGCGATGTCACAGCACGGATTAAGATATAGATGTATTTGAATCCGTGGTTACAGTGATAAAGTATATGTCAGCGCCTATGTAAAGTATACAATTGCAATCTTGATGACCAAGACGCAATGGTAATAACCATATTGATCTTTGCCACAGACACACAGGGTTGGGATATGACAGGGTTTTGTTATGCGATTTTTCACTGTGTATAGAACAAACCTGGAATGAGTTTGATTCTGTTTTAATAATGATGAAGTTTTCTAAGTATTTATACATGTACAGCGTTGGTAAAGTTGGTACTTCCGTGGAGCGCATGCTAGGCGTGTCAGGGTAAATGTTTTTCGTATATTGATGTTCTTGTCCAAAACAATCTTAAATTTACTGATAATCACATTGGGAGGTAAAACAAAACCACCAACAAATAAGTCCATTCCGTCTTGAATTCTTTATTATATCGAACTACTGATTGAAGACTAGCATATTGTTGATTAATCCTTAATTACTATTATTGATTTTTGGAAAATTTGTGCCGTTTGTATGCTTTTTATCGTCTTAATTAAGGTCTTTTTTTCTTGTGTAAGACCATTTAGTACAGATATTTTTTTCTCCAGTGGTTCATTTGGATATGGCGCTGCCAAGGAATCGTAAGTACTTTACAATTATCGACCTGTATTGAAGTTATCAACCCCGAGGTTTATCAGGGATAGGGAAAACACAGTCATGCTAAAATAAAAAAAAAATAGGAAATTGATATGTTGTTGATCCGTGTAATATCGATTCAGTAATATTAAATCGTACATTATTCTCATCAACTTATCGGAATATCTGCTTCATAATAACTTATTGTGATCCATCTACCTCGTAAATTTTGAGTGAATAAAATGGATTAAAACAATATACTCAAGCAAATCGTTTGAGCTGGCATGTAAACACACCACATTAAAGTAGTTTTAAATGTTTGATTTACAGTTAGTTGTGGAATAAAATATCTTGTTGTAAAACACTTGAAGCATTCTCTGTAACTAAAACGCGCAATAACTAGTTTCTCAATGGTTTTTGTAAACATTTGTTCTTTATCTTTTAAGTTATAAGTTGTAATAAGTTACAATGTCGCTATGTATTTATGAAATTGTTAGTTTTGCATATCAATTATCAGCGTTTCGCTAACTGCCATATCATCCCGCTCCAACTGATGACATAAACTTTATTTATTTTACAACCATTGCGAAACAAGCTTTAAGCTTATATTAATCACTATTCTTGGCCCTGATGAAAGTGCGCGAGTGGTCTTACTATGGGTAGAAACCACCTAACCCGGAGAAATCCCACGTGATTCGGGCAGGTGACCTCATACCTTTCACGTCCGTTCCCGGAATTGAACCACAGACGCCTAGATGAAAGGCGTGTGTTACAACTGACTACCCGACCACCCGGTGGCGTTAACAAGACACATGTTGGTACAGAAGAGGTCGTTTAAATTTCAGATTAGCTCTTTCATTGTGGAGAAAACAGGTCACACAAACTTGCGGTCGTGGTATATTGAATTTCTTTCACTCTAGTTTTTTTTTCAAAAGTTTAAAAAAAAACCTAAATCTGATGTTTTTGTAATTTTTGGAACAAAATAAGTAACGAGAGTAAAAGAAATACCGCATACCAAAACCCGTTGTTTAGTAACCACTTCTAAGTTAAAGTATTTATGTAGGGAAACAGCCCGCAGAAGTAATGAAGAAATCGCAAAACAACTAGCGGAACTTGCGAAGTTCACTGAGCGACAACAAAAACTGGTTTCTCTCACTGAAAACGTCAATTCTGCATGTGAAAAGGTTCAGTCACAGGAAGGAATAGATGACAATGATATCAGAGACTTACAAAGTGCAGTCGATGGGTATGGCAAGACATTAGAGAACGAAAAGGAACGGAAGGACAGACAGGAAAAGATGAAGAAACGAGAAGAGGAGGAAAAACGACGAAGAAATCCTGAAAACTGGAAACCTTTAGTGTAAGAATTCTTAATCAATTGTGATAAATCTATGATGGTGTTCTGAATTGTCTAAAAACAACAACGAAATACCGACATTATGACATAATCTTAACTTAAACACAAAACTAGGAAACTATGACAGAATATTAACATAAATAAAAATAGACAGAGATTCCTGATACAGTTTAAGGAGAATAAGACCAAATGTTTCGAAAGAGCAAGCGTCTTCCGCGATGTTAATCTTTGTCAATCCGAGAAAATTATGCTATGTTCACAAATGATAACATTATATACAACAACGGAACAAATCGGCAATCTAATGGGCATCAAACACGTCAAGCTTTATGCCGCACCAACAAAAATTAGAATATTTCTCAATGCAATTATAATGACTGTAAAACGTCCATATAGCCTTTATCAACCTTACTAATTCTCTATCTTACTTTTATGAGTACCATCGATATATAATATGCAAGAATTTACGATTGAATTGAAACAAATTTATTGACATATCAATAAATATATATACATATTTGTATATATGACAAAGGGATTGGACTTCAGACATAGCCTATTTAAGCCCTCTCCCACACTTAATCTTGATTAATCCTTAATTACTGTTATTGATTTTTGGAAAATTTGTGCCGTTTGTATGCTTTTTATCGTCTTAATTAAGGTCTTTTTTTCTTGTGTAAGACCATTTAGTACAGATATTTTTTTCTCCAGTGGTTCATTTGGATATGGCGCTGCCAAGGAATCGTAAGTACTTTACAATTATCGACCTGTATTGAAGTTATCAACCCCGAGGTTTATCAGGGATAGGGAAAACACAGTCATGCTAAAATAAAAAAAAATAGGAAATTGATATGTTGTTGATCCGTGTAATATGGATTCAGTAATATTAAATCGTACATTATTCTCATCAACTTATCGGAATATCTGCTTCATAATAACTTATTGTGATCCATCTACCTCGTAAATTTTGAGTGAATAAAATGGATTAAAACAATATACTCAAGCAAATCGTTTGAGCTGGCATGTAAACACACCACATTAAAGTAGTTTTAAATGTTTGATTTACAGTTAGTTGTGGAATAAAATATCTTGTTGTAAAACACTTGAAGCATTCTCTGTAACTAAAACGCGCAATAACTAGTTTCTCAATGGTTTTTGTAAACATTTGTTCTTTATCTTTTAAGTTATAAGTTGTAATAAGTTACAATGTCGCTATGTATTTATGAAATTGTTAGTTTTGCATATCAATTATCAGCGTTTCGCTAACTGCCATATCATCCCGCTCCAACTGATGACATAAACTTTATTTATTTTACAACCATTGCGAAACAAGCTTTAAGCTTATATTAATCACTATTCTTGGCCCTGATGAAAGTGCGCGAGTGGTCTTACTATGGGTAGAAACCACCTAACCCGGAGAAATCCCACGTGATTCGGGCAGGTGACCTCATACCTTTCACGTCCGTTCCCGGAATTGAACCACAGACGCCTAGATGAAAGGCGTGTGTTACAACTGACTACCCGACCACCCGGTGGCGTTAACAAGACACATGTTGGTACAGAAGAGGTCGTTTAAATTTCAGATTAGCTCTTTCATTGTGGAGAAAACAGGTCACACAAACTTGCGGTCGTGGTATATTGAATTTCTTTCACTCTAGTTTTTTTTTCAAAAGTTTAAAAAAAAACCTAAATCTGATGTTTTTGTAATTTTTGGAACAAAATAAGTAACGAGAGTAAAAGAAATACCGCATACCAAAACCCGTTGTTTAGTAACCACTTCTAAGTTAAAGTATTTATGTAGGGAAACAGCCCGCAGAAGTAATGAAGAAATCGCAAAACAACTAGCGGAACTTGCGAAGTTCACTGAGCGACAACAAAAACTGGTTTCTCTCACTGAAAACGTCAATTCTGCATGTGAAAAGGTTCAGTCACAGGAAGGAATAGATGACAATGATATCAGAGACTTACAAAGTGCAGTCGATGGGTATGGCAAGACATTAGAGAACGAAAAGGAACGGAAGGACAGACAGGAAAAGATGAAGAAACGAGAAGAGGAGGAAAAACGACGAAGAAATCCTGAAAACTGGAAACCTTTAGTGTAAGAATTCTTAATCAATTGTGATAAATCTATGATGGTGTTCTGAATTGTCTAAAAACAACAACGAAATACCGACATTATGACATAATCTTAACTTAAACACAAAACTAGGAAACTATGACAGAATATTAACATAAATAAAAATAGACAGAGATTCCTGATACAGTTTAAGGAGAATAAGACCAAATGTTTCGAAAGAGCAAGCGTCTTCCGCGATGTTAATCTTTGTCAATCCGAGAAAATTATGCTATGTTCACAAATGATAACATTATATACAACAACGGAACAAATCGGCAATCTAATGGGCATCAAACACGTCAAGCTTTATGCCGCACCAACAAAAATTAGAATATTTCTCAATGCAATTATAATGACTGTAAAACGTCCATATAGCCTTTATCAACCTTACTAATTCTCTATCTTACTTTTATGAGTACCATCGATATATAATATGCAAGAATTTACGATTGAATTGAAACAAATTTATTGACATATCAATAAATATATATACATATTTGTATATATGACAAAGGGATTGGACATCAGACATAGCCTATTTAAGCCCTCTCCCACACTTAATCTTGATTAATCCTTAATTACTATTATTGATTTTTGGAAAATTTGTGCCGTTTGTATGCTTTTTATCGTCTTAATTAAGGTCTTTTTTTCTTGTGTAAGACCATTTAGTACAGATATTTTTTTCTCCAGTGGTTCATTTGGATATGGCGCTGCCAAGGAATCGTAAGTACTTTACAATTATCGACCTGTATTGAAGTTATCAACCCCGAGGTTTATCAGGGATAGGGAAAACACAGTCATGCTAAAATAAAAAAAAAATAGGAAATTGATATGTTGTTGATCCGTGTAATATCGATTCAGTAATATTAAATCGTACATTATTCTCATCAACTTATCGGAATATCTGCTTCATAATAACTTATTGTGATCCATCTACCTCGTAAATTTTGAGTGAATAAAATGGATTAAAACAATATACTCAAGCAAATCGTTTGAGCTGGCATGTAAACACACCACATTAAAGTAGTTTTAAATGTTTGATTTACAGTTAGTTGTGGAATAAAATATCTTGTTGTAAAACACTTGAAGCATTCTCTGTAACTAAAACGCGCAATAACTAGTTTCTCAATGGTTTTTGTAAACATTTGTTCTTTATCTTTTAAGTTATAAGTTGTAATAAGTTACAATGTCGCTATGTATTTATGAAATTGTTAGTTTTGCATATCAATTATCAGCGTTTCGCTAACTGCCATATCATCCCGCTCCAACTGATGACATAAACTTTATTTATTTTACAACCATTGCGAAACAAGCTTTAAGCTTATATTAATCACTATTCTTGGCCCTGATGAAAGTGCGCGAGTGGTCTTACTATGGGTAGAAACCACCTAACCCGGAGAAATCCCACGTGATTCGGGCAGGTGACCTCATACCTTTCACGTCCGTTCCCGGAATTGAACCACAGACGCCTAGATGAAAGGCGTGTGTTACAACTGACTACCCGACCACCCGGTGGCGTTAACAAGACACATGTTGGTACAGAAGAGGTCGTTTAAATTTCAGATTAGCTCTTTCATTGTGGAGAAAACAGGTCACACAAACTTGCGGTCGTGGTATATTGAATTTCTTTCACTCTAGTTTTTTTTTCAAAAGTTTAAAAAAAAACCTAAATCTGATGTTTTTGTAATTTTTGGAACAAAATAAGTAACGAGAGTAAAAGAAATACCGCATACCAAAACCCGTTGTTTAGTAACCACTTCTAAGTTAAAGTATTTATGTAGGGAAACAGCCCGCAGAAGTAATGAAGAAATCGCAAAACAACTAGCGGAACTTGCGAAGTTCACTGAGCGACAACAAAAACTGGTTTCTCTCACTGAAAACGTCAATTCTGCATGTGAAAAGGTTCAGTCACAGGAAGGAATAGATGACAATGATATCAGAGACTTACAAAGTGCAGTCGATGGGTATGGCAAGACATTAGAGAACGAAAAGGAACGGAAGGACAGACAGGAAAAGATGAAGAAACGAGAAGAGGAGGAAAAACGACGAAGAAATCCTGAAAACTGGAAACCTTTAGTGTAAGAATTCTTAATCAATTGTGATAAATCTATGATGGTGTTCTGAATTGTCTAAAAACAACAACGAAATACCGACATTATGACATAATCTTAACTTAAACACAAAACTAGGAAACTATGACAGAATATTAACATAAATAAAAATAGACAGAGATTCCTGATACAGTTTAAGGAGAATAAGACCAAATGTTTCGAAAGAGCAAGCGTCTTCCGCGATGTTAATCTTTGTCAATCCGAGAAAATTATGCTATGTTCACAAATGATAACATTATATACAACAACGGAACAAATCGGCAATCTAATGGGCATCAAACACGTCAAGCTTTATGCCGCACCAACAAAAATTAGAATATTTCTCAATGCAATTATAATGACTGTAAAACGTCCATATAGCCTTTATCAACCTTACTAATTCTCTATCTTACTTTTATGAGTACCATCGATATATAATATGCAAGAATTTACGATTGAATTGAAACAAATTTATTGACATATCAATATATATATATACATATTTGTATATATGACAAAGGGATTGGACATCAGACATAGCCTATTTAAGCCCTCTCCCACACTTAACATCACAGTGGTACATGACAATATATATACACTTTAATCATTGCATACTAATAAAGCAGTATAACACAAGGAAAACACGCTTATCTACTGAAATATAATTTTACCTAATCATAATTTTTCCGCTCTGAACCTTACTTGATTACAATATTTTTAATCTCTACTTAAATACACGGACATTTTAAAATGTATATTATTTTAATGTTGCAGGTTTATGGACAACGCACCTCAGGAAGACGCATTCACTAACACTGATATATTGTGTGTGATTTATGCCATGGACGGGAGCTTCCAGACCACCTCGCTCCAGTGCAATAACATGGAAAGCCGGATCACGATGTCAGATTGGTTGGATACACGATATGAAGAGCAAGCGTCAAGTCCGATTTTGATGAACGGTTATAGCAATGTGGCGGTAAATCTGGAGGTTCGTACTGATAAATCATCTATTGGTGACTATCGATGTACAGGTAGCATTTTAACAAAAAATTAACCGACAAAAGGTTTTTTTTTAAACATATTTAATTTTCACCTTTTGAGGACTAGCTTAAGAACGATTTAATTTTTGGTGTCGTTTTCTGTTTCAATTATTTTTCTTTAATGGTAGAATGTCTGATGTCTAATACAAGTCTCCTCACTAAGGTCTGTGAGACTTTCAACCTATGGATATTTCATTTGTTTTTGGAACTCAAGAACCGTTCGTGACATTTCAACTAACACGAACGATACATTAAATACAATAATCTGAGAAATTTCAATAATGATTTTGTTTGTATGTGCTAACAAATAAGGAGCCGATGGAAGTGTACGTGCCATATTCGATCGATGGAATCAAGCACGAGCCAGAGGTCAAGATCTCAATCGACAATGGACCCTGGACGTCCCCGGATATACTCACCGAAAGGAAAGTTAAGGCCTTTCAGGTACGTTAACCTCTGTTTGTTATTAAACCTTCTGATACAGACATCCGTATTTAAATATCAGGTTGCATGTAGTGGTCCAGGCGATTTATGTTGTGACAACTAGCTTTTTTGGCATGTCGATATATTTACCTATTTACCTTTTTGTGTTTTATTGTCTCCTCTTAGACAACCATGTGTAAAGTAGTTACATTTTCTGTGGTAGTAATTATGAAAGGTAGTCATAGTGTCCTGGGGTAGTAATTATGAAAGGTGGTTATAGTTTCCAGAAGTTCTTATGAAGGGTGATTATACTTTCCTGGTGTAGCACTTATGAAAAGTAGTTACATTTTCCTGGGTAAGTAATTATAAAAGGTGATTATAGTTTACTGAGGTAGTAATTATAAAAGGTGCTTATAGTTTACTGAGGTAGTAATTATAAAAGGTGCTTATAGTTTACTGAGGTAGTAATTATAAAAGGTGCTTATAGTTTACTGAGGTAGTAATTGTACAAGGTGGTTATAGTTTACCGAGGTAGTAATTATAAAAGGTGGTTATAGTTTCCAGAAGTTCTTATGATGGGTGATTATACTTTCCTGGTGTAGTCCTTATGAAAAGTAGTTACATTTTCCTGGGTAAGTAATTATAAAAGGTAGTTATAGTTTACTGAGGTAGTAATTATAAAAGGTGGTTACATTTTCCTTGGGTAGTACTTATTAAAGGTTACAATTCCTGGGTTAGTAATTATGAAAGGTGGTTACATTTTCCTGGGTTAGTAATTATGAAAGGTGGTTACAGTTTTCTGTTGTAGTGATAATGAAAAGTGGTTACAGTTCCTGAGGTAGTACTTATGAAAGGCGGTTACAGTTCCTGAGGTAGTACTTATGAAAGGCGGTTATAGTTCCTGAGTTAGTACTTATGAAAGGTGGTTATATTTTTCTGTGCTAGTGATAATGAAAAGTGATACTGTTTATAAATAGCAGCTCAGACATTAGGTGAATGTAAGACATGGATCGTGGTAATTACTTTGTGAGTTGACTGGTATTAGGATTAGGATTAAGACGATGTGATGCATTATGACAATAAGCAAAAACGTTTTTGTCAGATCGTGGTTTCATTACATAAGCGAAAACTCTTACGCAACACTTAATAGGATTCATTTATTTAATAAATTTAGAGAATTTAATGAATACATTATCAATGTTTAATCCAACTATGGTTGAATCCTTCATTTACAGAAAGGGGTCAAGTACATTGGGACTACAGTTGAAAGCTTCAGGTCAGTTAGAATAATAGTAGCCGCTGTAAACAAGGGAAAAAAGATAAAAGTCGACAAAAATGGTTCGACCTTCAAGGAAGACTGTATGCAGTTCCAGGTTCCTCCAGGGTGCGGGAATGACAATATCAAGATCAATGTAAGTTACACGTTAATTTGATTCGTTTTAACGGCCCATCCATAACTTCTAACATCAAAACAAAGAAGTCTTGTGTGTTGGTACGTATTAATGTTATAAAGTAAACATGTATTTTGTCTACAGGTATCAACTGATAATGGAACAAATATGGCACGACAGAAGAAGTTTCTTGGCGCTCAGGTACGCGTAGAAGTCGACTGTGGGCAAAAAACAACGAAGGACATCAATGTCAAGATATCAGAGGATAAGAGTGAGTAAAAAAAACAAACAAAACAAAAACACAACACTTCTCATCAATCTAAAACATAACAAACAGTTATATAGTTATCCTTCAAAGGTACCAACGAAAACCTAGATCAAAATTTACATGGAGATCATTGGAAAATACATGATGGAAGACCAGGTGATTTAGAAGGGTAAGTCTGTTTAACATAATGATGGCACGCCATGAAATGATAAATATGTAATACCATGTTCTCAAAATCAGAACGGGTTTAGTAACAGATAATAAAATCAGGCATTCTAATCATGATAACGACTAACATATTCCAATTCATATAGGCTTCAGCACCTCTTGGTTTTATGTGCTTTGGTCAGCACACGTCCTGAATCAAGGAAAACTTGAGAATGAACTACACTATTTATATCACAGGTTTAGGAAGCAAGGTTTTTGCTATCGAAAAATAAAAAAAATCATTACAGGTAATTAATAATCATTCAAATGCTTCGAAAACAGCCCCCTTGACTGCGTTGTAGGTTGATGGAAGTAGATTTAAAGGATTAAGCCCGGTCCTTTATTTCTAAATCTGGTCGGTAGAAATGATTAATATAAAAACTTATATTTAAAGATATCACTCATATACCTTAAAGTGAAACTTATTTAGTAGGGTGTTTATGATATATGTTTTGTAGTACATTTTTGCAATTGAATCCAGTAGAGTTGGAGGATAACGCAGATAATTGCTTTTTTTATAGTAAACAATAAGCATATTACTGAAATGTTATTTCCTGCAGAACAACTGACTTCATCGTGTTTTTGTTACAGTGTCGTCTCACTGTAATGAAAGGAAAGCGGCTTGCAATATTTGAATATTTGAAGGAAATCAACCTGGTATTATCTACTGCTTTCATCTCATTTTTTTATAGTGTTGTCTCACTGTAAGGAACGGAAGGAGGCTTGCAATGCCCTGAACGAACTGGTTACGTCTGGAAATGATCTTTCTAACATCAAACTGGATCCTTTACTTGAGCACTTACAGAGAGATGGCGTGATCAACACTAAGGAAGCAAACGATAACAAAGTACTGAAATACATATTATAGTATCTATATATTCAGTGATATGTATATATTATTGTACCAAACATAAATAACACATTGAACAATTATATAAAGTAATGTTGTCATTCAAATAAGTATCAGTTATGACACATATGTAATATGACCTATCGCTGGTTTGATTGGCTCAGTTTTGATGAAGTGTTTCATGGCATCTTATGCTGATTAAACAATGAGACATGGAGGGAGAAAATGGACATTTACGATTTTGGATTAGTTTAATTAGATGTTGTAGTCATGAATGTTTGCAAAAAAAAGTTATGTGATAAACAGAATCTTATGTTTGCTTCCGTCTCATATTAGATTAATAAAAGTCTTCGTGCAACTGTACTTCCATTATTTCACAACACGATTATAAAAATTATAATTTCTAAATTTAGATGAAACACAAACGTTATTCAGAAAGGTGCCATTTATTATTTTTTTACTAGAATCTGATGGATATACAAAAAAGGACGAAACATCTGCTGGAGATGATTCTACAGCGACCATCGGCAGCTGAAAAGGTCCTGGTATGCTTGGACAAATCAGGAAATAGTCACATAGCAAAACAGATTCGAGAGTTGATTCCGAAAAAGTCCGGCAATACAGCTGTATATGGTAATGTTGAATACTGACACTGTATAAATGGTCTATTGAGTCACACTATTAACATTCAGAGTACCATTTTTTTTCAGGTACACATTTATATGTTCCATATGTTTGGAAAAGTCGTTATCCTTATTACTATATTGATGTACAGTTCCACTAGAGAAGGTCGTTATCCTTGTTACTCTATTGATGTACAGTTCCACTAGAGAAGGTCGTTATCCTTGTTACTCTGTTGATGTACAATTCCACTAGAGAAGGTCGTTATCCTTGTTACTCTATTGATGTACAGTTCCACTAGAGAAGGTCGTTATCCTTGTTACTCTATTGATGTACAGTTCCACTAGAGAAGGTCGTTATCCTTGTTACTCTATTGATGTACAGTTACACTAGAGAAGGTCGTTATCCATGTTACTCTGTTGGTATACAATAACACTAGAGAAGGTCTTTATTATTGTAATCCTATTGATGTACACTTACACGTTTATATAACTTCCAATATATCTTATCAATAACACCATACAGTAAACTCCAGGGACAAACTAATGAGCGCCAGATACACGTCGATGATCCTGTATTATTTTTTTTATGTTACCAGTGTAATTTAGTGTAAAACTAAATCATATCTGAATTTACTTATCTAACTGCTACTGTATTCTAAATCCGTGTTTTTTCGTTTTCACTAAGATTTTTTTTTACATGGTTGATAACTGTTTCTTTGTGCTTTTTGCTCAGTTTCAATTGTGGTTATGTCAATTGGTCTTTTTAAATAACACTATAATAATATTATTCTTTTCACAGAAAAATGGCGTTCGGTATTAGTTTTCACTGGGGATGATGGAAAGTGGAAAGTGCTTGATCCAAAAGTCATAAAAAAGCTTTATAAAGAACTAGGATTTATCTTAGAGGCGGGGAACAGACGTTTTGAGTAAGTTTTTCTAAGGTTTATTCTCCTGGGTACATCATCAGTGTTAAAAAAATATGTATGTTAATCTTAAAAATCGTGCATGTTTACCTTGCTCCCATTTTGGAAAGTGACATTCCTTACTTGGACATCAATATTTAAATGGCGGGTGTTGTTGATGAAGCAGTAGACACTTATTCTTCCGGAACACCTGGTCCTATTATCCTTGTATTTTTCAGGAATCTCCGTGTAAATTTTTCTTTTGTTCATGTTTTGGATTAAGATTCTGTTTTTGTTGGTATTTTCTTTCTTGTTATATAAGGAGCTAAGCAGTTGTGATTTGTACAATCTTAAATATCACAATGCCAGAATACACCAATCTAACCGGCTGGTTCAGTTCGTGTCATTTTGCGAGAGAAGGGTGTTTTCTGTCTTTAACAATGCCTGAGGTAAACAGCAAGAACCAATCTTATGATGGAAAAACCGGATGAGTACCGACTGGAAAATGGAATAATGTTTCTACTTCTGATTTATGATAGATAGATGAATTTGTGTATCGGGAGGATGCAAGATGAAATTTTATTATATACAAGTTATCACAAATACTTATATGTATCTGCAATCTGTACAGGTTGATATCCCTGACCATCTCTGATGACACGTCTGAGAAAGATATTGGAGAAATCGCCAATGAGATTAGAAACCGGGAGATTGGTACGACCGTAACACTGGTCTGCAGGCATAAAACAGACGACTATCAAGCCGAAAGCTTTGTGCACGTCCTTTCATCGAAGCAAGCATCAAGGGAAATCATTCGACTGAAAGAACAAGGATACACCAGAGGCCCAATGGAGTTGGCAGACTTTAATATCATGGACGGGGAAATCGTCGAGTTGTATATGTCTGGTAATATCGGACTGGAGTACAAAGGTAGAAGGTTACAACAAGGAACGGTAACGGGCTTACTATACAAAGCCCATAAAGACGTTTGCAAACTGAACTTTAATATATACGTCGTGAACAAGACATCTCCAGGTCAAATGGATGACGACAGGTATCGAGGACTGCTTCATTACAGAGTCAGAGCTAGAGCACCTCTTAAGGAGAGGACTGACGAGGTCGAGGTAACCTGGCTAAAGGTGAGATTGGAAATGAAGTAAGGGTATTCTGGCTAAAGGGGAGATATTATGACTAATGAAGTCGGGGTGATCTGACTAAAAGTAAAATTGTAGTCGAGGTCGAGGTATCTGACTAAAGTTGAGATAGTAGAACTGTTGAATTCGAGGGGACCTGGACAAATTTGAGATAGTAGGACTGATGAAGGCGAAGTTACTTGGCTAAAGGTAAGGCTGCAATCGAGGTCGAGATAGCCTGGCTAACGGGTTTTGTAAGACTGACGAGGCCAAGGTAACCTGTCTTAAGGTGACTTTGCAGGACTAATGAGGTCAAGGTGGCCTAGCTAATGGTGATACAGGAGGAATGAAATGGTCAGGGTAAACTAAATGAATGTGAAATTATAAACGAGCATCGAAGTCAAGATAACTTGATTGTTGCACGGTTGAGGTATCAAGACTAAAGGTGAAATCATAGAACTGTTAATGTAGAGGTAATCTTGCTTCAGGTCCGACAGAAGTATTGATGAAGTTGATGATTTCTTACCAGAGGTGAATATAATAATGTGATATAGTTATAAGGGAAACTGTAGGTAGAGTGTGCTCATCACCAATCCCTAAACCAGCATAGAAATACGAATGCGTTTTATATGTTTCCATTTTAGGTGTCGAAGCGCTATTTATCACACTTGTCCATGAATGGCGACAGTAAGTATTTATCAAGATTGTTTTAATAAAAACAATGATTCTTTAAAGTTGACCAATTTTTTTTCTGCAGTTCATTTCAAACCATTATATCCTTAGATACATCAGTGTTATTGTCACTTTACTTTGTAATTAAACTTGTTTTTACTTCACACATTGTCACATGTGTACGTGTCTCATATAATTATTTACTTGTTGTTATTTGTATAAATACTACAAATTATAATACGTTTGAGTTTTTAACATATTTCGTGTATTGTACAGTGCAAGCGCTGGGCAAATTCGTCAGTTCAAAGATGGCTAACAGAGAAGAATATCATCAAATACGAGACAACGCTGTTCATATGGGCAAATCAAAACAAAGACGAAAAAGACATACAGGTGAAAACTATGAGGTTGAAATATTCACTAAATACCGCCCATACAAGAAAACGTTATTCTAACCCGCTAACATCATAATAAGGAAATGATCAAGGCAGACTTCTCATTGGGGTCCTAAAACAATCACCATGTTAATACGAACTGTAATGTTACGTTCTCAAAATGAGAAATTTGTAACCAATAACTAAATAACCATACCCCAAATGAATCAGATTAATTTCCAGCGAGATCCTGATCATAAAATTTCGTCTCTCAAAATCCTCTGTTGTCCACATTATCATTCAAACCATGAAATAGCAAAATCGATTATGCAATTCAAACAATGTAGTTATGGGAAGCAGGAGGTTACTATCTTAAAAAGTAAATTCAAATATGAAAAAAACCAAATGATCACATCGGAATCGACAACGTAACATTTATTTGTCACTAAGAAGTAGTAATATCTGATTGTTTTGTAGATTGAGAAGATTCTACATGCAGTTAAAAGTTACTCGTGGTGTGACGAAGCTCGTCGGTTTGTCAGATTATACATGGAGTCAGGTAATCATTAGATTGTTTTCATTGAATCTGGTCCTTAAGGGCACAGGGATGGGGCTCAGAAGGGAACTAGATCAAAAGTTTTAATATCGTTCTCCTTTAGGGTCACTGAATACTTTACTTGTTTGCTCAGGAGAAATGAAGGGGACATAACCGGAAGGTCTCACCTCTTTAGAGGAAGGACACGTCCAACCAGGAAAATATCATTTTTGAAAATTAATATTTTTTTTCAGAGGGAATGAGTTAATCATGTTTCGTCTGAAACAATGATGATTAAAATGTTCTAAACTCGGTATGAACTTTGGGTCTGGTCTCCTGCGGTACATAGGGGCTCTCTGTAGGGGAATAGAGTGATGTCTTTCAGTCTACATCACATTATTATTGATTTCACGATTTGACAGGAACAGTTTAAATGAAGGAGAATTAGTTAAAATGGAGAATCTTTGGGTTTTTATTGTAGGTCTATCTATCTCCTATAAAAATCATTATCGGAGATCGTGTCCGATCTAGATCACGTCACATATCTAAATGTGTAAACATTTATCTAAAAGAGTCATACGGAATGGAAGTATGCATAGTGACAAAATGAAATGTTTTCTAGGATCGGACTGTTAAACAACTAGACGAGCAGCAGAAATATCTCAGTGGTGATGATGATGATGATGATGATGATGATGATGATGTGGTTGTATGGGTGTCTGTATGGAAGTGTACCCAATCTATGTGTGTGTGTGTGTGTGTGTGTGTGGGTGTGTGTGTGTGTGTGTGTGTGTGTGTGTGTGTGTGTGAGGGTGTGTGTGTGTGTGTGTGTGTGTTGGTTTGTGGAGATATATGTGGAAATGTGCCAATACAGTACATGTGTGTGTTAGGAGCTGTACATATACAGTACATGTGTGTGTTAGGAGCTGTACATATACAGTACATGTGTGTGTCTGTATGGAACTGTACCTATACAGTACATGTGTGTGTCTGTATGGAACTGTACCTATACACTACATGTGTGTGTCTGTATGGAACTGTACCTATACAGTACAGGTGTGTGTCTGTATGGAACTGTACCTATACAGTACATGTTGGTGAGTCTGTATAGAACTGTACCTATACAGTACATGTGTGTGTGTCTGCATGGAACTGTACCTATACTGTACATGTGTGTGTGTATCTGTATGGAACTGTACCTATACAGTACATGTTGGTGAGTCTGTATAGAACTGTACCTATACAGTACATGTGTGTGTGTGTGTCTGTATGGAACTGTACCTATACAGTACATGTGTGTGTGTGTGTCTGTATGGAACTGTACCTATACTGTACATGTGTGTGTGAGTCTGTATAGAACTGTACCTATACAGTACATGTTGGTGAGTCTGTATAGAACTGTACCTATACAGTACATGTGTGTGTGTGTCTGTATAGAACTGTACCTATACAGTACATGTGTGTGTGTGTCTGTATAGAACTGTACCTATACAGTTCATGTGTGTGTGTGTCTGTATAGAACTGTACCTATACAGTACATGTGTGTGTGTATAGAACTGTACCTATACAGTACATGTGTGTGTGTGTGTCTGTATGGAACTGTACCTATACTGTACATGTGTGTGTGTGCATCTGTATGGAACTGTACCTATACAGTACATGTGTGTGTGTGTCTGTATAGAACTGTACCTATACAGTACATGTGTGTGTGTGTCTGTATAGAACTGTACCTATACAGTTCATGTGTGTGTGTGTCTGTATAGAACTGTACCTATACAGTACATGTGTGTGTGTGTGTATAGAACTGTACCTATACAGTACATGTGTGTGTGTGTCTGTATGGAACTGTACCTATACTGTACATGTGTGTGTGTGCATCTGTATGGAACTGTACCTATACAGTACATGTGTGTGTGTCTGTATAGAACTGTACCTATACAGTACATGTTGGTGTGTCTGTATGGAACTGTACCTATACAGTACATGTTGATGAGTCTATATAGAACTGTACCTATACTGTACATGTTGGTGAGTCTGTATAGAACTGTACCTATACAGTACACGCGTGTGTCTGTATAGAACTGTACCTATACAGTACATGTGTGTGTGTGTGTCTGTATAGAACTGTACCTATACAGTACATGTGTGTGTGTGTGTGTCTGTATGGAACTGTACCTATACAGTACATGTGTGTGTGTGTCTGTATGGAACTGTACCTATACAGTACATGTGTGTGTGTGTCTGTATGGAACTGTATCTATACAGTACATGTGTGTGTGTGTCTGTATGGAACTGTACCTATACAGTACATGTGTGTGTGTCTCTCTGTATGGAAGTATTCACATACTGTGGATGTGTTGATATATGCGACAAAATCTACCCATTATTTATATAGATTTACCTGATATTCTGATTTTCTGTTACACATTTTTATATTTGACATGTTTAGTTAGTGTTTTCCGTCTTAAAAATATATGACGTCAAAGCCGGGTTGTAAGATTACTAATAGCTAAAAGATCACATAGTGGTCATGGGATCTAGTTTACAGTTTACAGACTAAATTTTCCAATTAATCAAGGGAGTTGAACTTACCTTTTATATGTGTTTCGTTTCAATGAATAAACAAACACATTTTTCAATGTATTACAAAATGTAGCATCAAGATTGTTGAACAACGAATATCGATAACGTAGGTCAATGACATCAATGACGAGTCTCAGATCGAAGAAAATTATAGTTTTATCATGTTGAATTTTTCTCTTATGTCTAAAGCTAAATCGATATCTGACAATACTGTCTGTTCCTCAATCCGATCGATCTTTTATAGGTCTGTTCTCGGAGCTGTCGCTTCTGGGAATGTCGAAGCTGTTGGGGCCGGAATGGAAAGACTTGGCGGTTGTCCTTAAACTACCACAAGTGCAGCTGGATTATATCGAGCATATGCAGCTCAGTGAACAAGACGCGAAGGGGAAAATGCTTGATAAGTTCCGCCTGTCACACTACGCTATCGGCTTCGGCGAGAAACTTTCGGAAGTATTCTTGGAGTCCCTTCAGCGGTGCAAGTGCAGTGACGAACTTCTGGCGTACGTGAAGTCGAAAATGAAGTGACATTCTTGTCGTTGATCCTTTGTCTGTTGGCAATAATGACATTTTACTTGCATTACTGTTAGCTCGTTTCTCAAGTCAGCCGGTCACTCGGTTGATCAAAAATCAGTTTTAAAAAATCGATAATCGATTTACAAATCAGCTTTGAAAATCGATAATCGATTCATTTAGCATAAAATGATGATCAATTATAGTTTAGCGCTGATTAGCCTCAGATGAACACTTATCCGGAAAAAAGTTCAAGCCGTGAGTCTTGTCTTTTATATCGTTTTTGATCGACGGATCTGTTAAGATCAGATCTAACGCTTGGATATCATCAGGCATATTTCGAACAGCTTAGACTTACTTTAATGATAACGTGTTGACCCATGTCCTGATTACTTGGTTACATAATTTCCCGAGTAATCCGTTCTGATATTCAACCGTTTGACAATCTTTCTCGCAGCCAACTTTTGCTTTCTTACTTATGTAATTTTTGCTTTACAACAAGTTCGCTGCAATAGAAATTATACCATACACCAATATCGCAGTTTTTCATCTTAGCTGTTACAGTTCTCGGAAATATAACGCACGAGACAGAAAGCTGGTTTATTTTTCTTCTAATTTGTGATTTAAATTGAAATGTGTACCTGTCTTGGGAGAATGATCGTTTTAATTTTATAGAACTTTGTCAGTGTCAATTTGTAGCAGAGGTACCAACATTAATCAGTGATGCTCAGTAAGGCACAAAGGTCACGAGGTCAGTGTTGTGGTATAATTAATGTGAAATGTATATGTGTACTTAGTAATACAAACACAGTGGTACTCTATGTATCATATTAGACTGGGAAAGGTTAATTGGGATAAAGCAACGATTTCAAGTACGTAACAACATACTCAATCTTATAAAATGATGTACAACAGCGTTAATGTATATACAACATAACCAATCCACTGATGGCTTATTCAGCTTACCTTAGTATGGAAAGCAACAGAACCAAACGGTCTGTATCCCTCGTACGGGTATGGGCTAAACAGTTGAATTTTGGTCCTCGTGTTAGTAATACGAAAGGAAAAAAATATGATAGTTACACAGGAATGCTTAAACTACGAATATTCAATAGTTGAAAAAAAACTTGAACGAGATCCATGAAAACATGAATTTGTTGCTGCAAATGCTGGGTACTATTCTCTCTAGTGACACATGACCACATCTTCTGGTCCATTGAGCCAATCATCCGACTCTTAAACACCATTGTCTTTCGCCTGAAGAAGCTTATATACTGATATTTTACATAAAATACCTACACTTTCATTATTTTTAATAGGATGAGAATTGTTTTTCCTGTATTTTTTGTAGAAATTCGACGTCATGAATATAAAGTTTTTTACAGTCCTCACTTGTGATGACGAATGGCGCGTTCCATGGACTACCTTCAAATGTCATTACGGCGTTCTTAAGATCTTCAGACAACGAAGACAAGCAAAAGTCATCATACTTTGCTCTAGTTTTCCTGAAGTAAGCCACTTCGTCATTGAAATCAGGCAGCTGGCGTTTTATTTTTTCTTTCAACTTGTTCAGAAAGTAGTCGTACAGGCGATAGTCCAAATATCCACATCTTTTATACAACGTCTCTTCAGTAGTTCCAAACACCAATCGTGTGTCTTCCAGCTTATTAACGCGAAGTTTAGCGTACAAAACATGTCTGAGATCCCAGTTTAAGATCCGACGCATTAACACAATGGATTCGTCAAGGAACTCCATCACCAGTATAATATCAAATTCCTTATCTAGTTGTAATAAATAATCGTCTATCAGATGATGATTCCTCGTCAAATACAATTCGTAGGGAAATCCAAAGTACCAAGCCATTCCATTACAGTTGATAATATGCTCACCCGTTCTGGTCCTAAATTCTTTTTCTCGAGACAAATATTTCAAAACAGGGTCGTTTCCTGGGATATCTAGAACGGATTTAGGACGAATAAATCTGACAAAGGATCGAAAACGGCTAAATGGTTCCCTCACTGTTCCTATGTAAGCGGTGTCGTCAGGAAGGACTCTATGAAATTGTTCTTTGTCATATCTGATATGTGTACAAGTGATATCAAAAAATTTCTTGTTCAACGGGGCATAGAAGTAACGAGCTGTTAGTGAATCGCCGCCCGCTGGACGGAGTTTTGGCAGAGCAAACTCCAGATCATTTTCATACCCGTAACGTAGAAATATGTTCTGAACCGTAGTACTTGCTGCCTTAGGCACCTTAATAAATGCTATATGATTGACAGGTTCACCTTTCTGAAGGTACTGGGTCTGATTGGTTGAAAGTTCTCTTTTGTGAGAAATCCATTTTGTTTTCCCATCTTCAGCAGTAGGAGAGATGTAACAATTTATTGTGTACAGTGTCACAGGCACTAAGCACCCCAGCAACAATAATCTGCAATATAATGTATTTTATGTATGTAAACAATATACATAATTAATTACTTATAATACATGATAGGCTAGTTTTATGCTACAGAATAATATGATGATGAAACGCTGGTCTGACTCCAAATTCAGCTTTAAAATCGGTAGTGTGTTAGCTACATAATTTTACATACAGGCACGACAGACTCTTCTCCATCAGCAGCCTACCTTTATCTTTACATATAAACACGACACACTCTTCTCTATCGGCAGCCTACCTTTATCTTTACATATAAACACGACACACTCTTCTCCATCGGCAGCCTACCTTTATCTCTACATATAAACACGACAGACTCTTCTCCATCGGCAGCCTACCTTTATCTCTACATATAAACACGACACACTCTTCTCCATCGGCAGCCTACCTTTATCTCTACATATAAACACGACACACTCTTCTCCATCGGCAGCCTACCTTCATCTTTACATATAAACACGACACACTCTTCTCCATCAGCCATCTACCTTTATCTTTACATATAAACACGACAGACTCTTCTCCATCGGCAGCCTACCTTTATCTTTACATATAAACACGACAGACACTTCTCTATCAGCAGCCTATCTTTATCTTTACATATAAACACGACACACTCTTCTCCATCGGCAGCCTACCTTTATCTTTACATATAAACACGACAGACTCTTCTCCATCGGCAGCCTATCTTTATCTCTACATATAAACACGACACACTCTTCTCCATCAGCAGCCTACCTTTATCTTTACATATAAACACGACAGACACTTCTCTATCAGCAGCCTATCTTTATCTTTACATATAAACACGACCGACTCTTCTCCATCAGCAGCCTATCTTTATCTTTACATATAAACACGACAGACACTTCTCTATCAGCAGCCTATCTTTATCTTTACATATAAACACGACACACTCTTCTCCATCAGCAGCCTATCTTTATCTTTACATATAAACACGACAGACTCTTCTCCATCAGCCGTCTACCTTTATCTTTACATATAAACACGACACACTCTTCTCTATCAGCCGTCTACCTTTATCTTTACATATAAACACTTCTCTATCAGCAGCCTATCTTTATCTTTACATATAAACACGACAGACTCTTCTCCATCGACAGCCTACCTTTATCTTTACATATAAACACGACAGACTCTTCTCCATCAGCAGCCTACCTTTATCTTTACATATAAACACGACACACTCTTCTCCATCAGCCGTCTACCTTCATCTTTACATATAAACACGACACACTCTTCTCTATCAGCCATCTACCTTTATCTTTACATATAAACACGACAGACTCTTCTCCATCAGCAGCCTACCTTTATCTTTACATATAAACACCTGAAAAATGGACATTTTGTTATTTGGCCCGCCTGATCTCTCAGATTTTCTTTGCTAAGCTGATATATATCTATCTTCATACATTTTAATGATCACTGATTGCATAGATCGACAGAAAAATCCTCCAAAATTCAATTAAATATGAGATATGATATGTTGACATGGTATTAACAAATAAAGGAGCTGTGCTGCATATATACATACTACGGCACCTCCCCACTGGGGAGCCATTTTTATGTACTTGACGGTAAAATACGGTAGTCAACGACAGACAGAAAATTATTGAACAATGATAGTTAATTAATAAAAGTTTTTCTTTAGGTGTAAGTTTCACGCATAATGTCAGTTGTAATTGATTTTAAATGGATACAAGTAAATAAAGTATGTTTGTGTTCTGAGGTGTCGTAGGAAATACATTGTAAACATGCGATAATTTCTTTTCAGACTATTATTCTTGCAAATAATGGCAAATTTTGGAGAGGGAACGCGCAGGTTGGGACCCCCTCTGAATGCTCAGACTGACTATCATGTATTACGAATTATACGGAGAGCTGAGCACGGTCGATAACTCTTCTGTCCTTATACACTAAAAGAACAAAACACTAATAGAAATGTTACATCTCCCTACCAGGTTAATGATTTTACTAACCTGATTAAGCAATTACAATTGTGAACCTGTAACAAATATGCATGATACTGTTCTTATGAAAAAAGGGAGTTTCGAAATTACCTCAGCCCCTGTTGTATATATAATTGGATTGTATTTTAATATTAAAGCCTCTGGACTGAAATACTGTGAAGTGAACGATTTACAACTTAATGTATGAAACTGGTTTATGTACGTGTTTAACGTGTGACCCTCTGAGTCTACGTTTCATGACATGACACTTTTAAGACTAATTGACCTCCGACAAGTCACACTTAGTCTTGTCTAGGTGACCTCTTAATAAAATTTTCAACACTTCCGGCCTCAGTTTTGCTGAGGTAAAATTAGTGTAACCATGATAAATACCAACATTAATATACCACTCGGCTATAGAGAAGTGTATCTTTGGTAAATATCAACATCAATATACCACTCGGCTATAGAGAAATGTAACCTTGGTAAATATCACAATAAATATACCACTCGGCTATAGAGAAATGTAACCTGGGTAAATATCACAATAAATATACCACTCGGCTATAGAGAAATGTAACCTTGGTAAATATCACAATAAATATACCACTCGGCTATAGAGAAATGTAACCTTGGTAAATATCACAATAAATATACCACTCGGCTTTAGAGAAGTGTTATACCACTCGGCTATAGAGAAGTGTAACCTTGGTAAATGTCACAATCAATATACCACTCGGCTATAGAGAAGTGTAACTTTGTTAAATGTCACTATCAATATACCACTCGGCTATAGAGAAGTGTAACATTGGTTAATATCAACATCAATATACCACTCGGCTATAGAGAAGTGTAACTTTGGTAAATATCAACATCAATATACCACTCGGCTATAGAGAAGTGTAACTTTGTTAAATATCACAATCAATATACCACTCGGCTATAGAGAAGTGTAACATTGGTTAATATCAACATCAATATACCACTCGGCTATAGAGAAGTGTAACCTTGGTAAATATCACAATGAATATACCACTCGGCTATAGAGAAGTGTAACTTTGGTAAATATCAACATCAATATACCACTCGGCTATAGAGAAGTGTAACCTTGGTTAATATCAATATACCACTCGGCTATAGAGAAGTGTAACAATCAATATACCACTCGGCTATAGAGAAGTGTAACCTTGGTTAATATCAACATCAATATACCACTCGGCTATAGAGAAATGTAACCTTGGTTAATATCAATATACCACTCGGCTATAGAGAAGTGTAACCTTGGTTAATATCAATATACCACTCGGCTATAGAGAAGTGTAACTTTGTTAAATGTCACAATCAATATACCACTCGGCTATAGAGAAGTGTAACTTTGTTAAATGTCACAATCAATATACCACTCGGCTATAGAGAAGTGTAACCTTGGTTAATATCAATATACCACTCGGCTATAGAGAAGTGTAACCTTGGTAAATATCACAATAAATATACCACTCGGCTATAGAGAAATGTAACTTTGGTTAATATCAATATACCACTCGGCTATAGAGAAATGTAACCTTGGTTAATATCAATATACCTTGGTAAATACGCTATAGAGAATAATCTTGGTTAATATCAACATCAATATACCACTCGGCTATAGAGAAATGTAACCTTGGTTAATATCAATATACCACTCGGCTATAGAGAAGCGTAATCTTGGTTAATATCAACATCAATATACCACTCGGCTATAGAGAAATGTAACCTTGGTTAATATCAATATACCACTCGGCTATAGAGAAGCGTAATCTTGGTTAATATCAACATCAATATACCACTCGGCTATAGAGAAGTATAACCTTGGTTAATATCAATATACCACTCGGCTATAGAGAAATGTAACCTTGGTAAATACCAGTATTAGTATATCAGCTAAAGAAAGGTGTAACAATGGTAAATATCAACATCAATATATTACTCGCCTATCGAGAAATTTAACCCTGATAAATACCAGCATCAATATCCCTCGAATTAAATCGATATCGTCTTTAGCTCACGGACGTTTTACACTGCATACCTCGATTAAAATATTGTTTGTACCCACATCCAAGATGTTTTATACTGCATATCTCGAATAAAATATTGTTTGTACCTATCTCAAGAATGTTTTACACTGCATATCTCGAATAAATTTGGGTTGTACCTACCTCCAGGATGTTTTACACTGCATACCTCGAATAAATTCGGGTTGTACCTACCTCCAGGATGTTTTACACTGCATACCTCGAATATATTTGGGTTGTACCTACCTCCAGGATGTTTTACACTGCATACCTCGAATAAATTCGGGTTGTACCTACCTCCAGGATGTTTTACACTGCATACCTCGAATATATTTGGGTTGTACCTACCTCCAGGATGTTTTACACTGCAAACCTCGAATAAATTTGGGTTGTATCAGCCTCCAGTACTTCTTACATTCCATGGCGTTAATCCAAATAGGGACAGAGAAATTCATAATTATGAGGTTTGTTTTCTACCCTGAAAAGTGTCCGATTGATGACATGACAACAAGGAGATAATGCTGTGTTTTTAACAATTACTGTTGTACCATTGAGGACTGCAAAACAAATGAAATGAATACAGGTACACATTACTTAAACCAGGCTTTGTTCATGGGGTGTTATCATGCGTTAAAATTCTATTCAGAGGTTAATAAAGTGAGAGGTACATTATTGTGTGGTCCCCGACTGAGATATATAGGTGTTTTCATCCAACCGTATTGTATGTCCTTTACAGTAATTAAAAGTACGTAGCAACATTACAAACGATTGTCATAAACACACAATAACGCCTACGTCAGAACTACACATGAAGAAGGGGTCATCTTTCATTGATAAACAATCTTTCTTGGCGTCAATGTCACACTTGCATTAACTTTATCTGTTGTCTTTTGTACAATAATTAAAACTGACAACTGTCGTCCATATACCGCGATATTTCGGGGTAAATTACTTAGCGTTTCAATGGAAGATATCACTGCAAAAAGAAAAGAAAATATCTTAAGTATTCTCATTACGAATGAGGACCCCAATAACGAAGGAAGGAAAAAGAGAAAGGAGTAAATGAAACACTTGATCAGACCTTCGCCACTTCATTATTAACAATATTTCATCCGCAAATGTGTTATAGATTCCATAATAGAAAATTTTAAAGTAAATATTGATTTATACGTATTGCATCAAAATTATTTGATAGTTGCCGTAATATCTACTCGTTTGCATAATTGACCATATAAGATGTCTAAAATCGCCTTCATTTCAAAAGAGTTCTTATTCGTGATAACTTATATTTATCTTCTATGGATGATAAGACTTATGATTAAAATGCAATTATTGGAAAAATAGATTTATCTGTGTAATTCATCCATCAAATTTTTATTAACCAACGGACGAAACATTGAAATTTATAGGGGCAGCATTGCCCTGTGTTGGTAGAATCAAAGATCAATGAAATGGCTTAGCTGTAACCATTTAGGTTACGTTTATGTAGATTTGGGTACTCAGTAGATCAAATATTATCTGTGATGTCCTTTATTATAAGAAGCACATATACTAATTTTGCACTCCAGATTTATTTATTGTTGATTTAAGAAGACGATTGAAATTTTACAAAAAAAAAAAAAAAAAAGAAAAACAAAACCAAAAAAGTCAGCAAACAGGGCACGGCTTGTCCCCTTATGAATATTTGTAAAAACAATTTTGACCACACATGATAATTACGTTCTTCTAAAATTATTTAATATTTATGAAATCTACTGTATTATGAGGCTAGCAAACCTTTCTATATAGAATTTGACATTTATTCTGATCACTTTAATCCTCTGTCGCCTCTTATGTTTAAAATTTAGGCCCTTAGCATCTCTGACAAGTCCTAGAAGGACGAAATAGCTGTATGATGCAGTTTAACTCATCGATTGGCACTACTGTAACTTATCATAATCAGTCAAAGATATTCACTTGTGTGTCTTTTATACAATCTTCACAATTCTTATAAATCAATCTACCACTCGACTAACAAGTTTTAAAGGAACAGTTTTGTCAGTACATGCTTCTGTATGTTGCTTGTATCTGTTTATCAGAGGTAAAATCATGACGTGAAGGGTTATTACTGTGTACTTGTTATGAACTGTAATTACAGGAAAACAATAGCCAATTTTTATTGTAGTAAGGCGACATTCAATACTGAAGAATGGCGACTACTTGAGTGCCTATTTCTGACTCGAATATTATGGCTATTTTGAGCCATGTAAACAAAACATGAGAATTACACAATTGATCCCATACAATACGTAATTATCGACAATGCAGGACTTCGAAACACGGGACTTTGTGTAACGATAATGAGAAAACCTAATGTCAATCGAATACAATTTCAACCATTGTTCTTTAATATGTTCTAACCGATGGGCATGTGCACGCTGTTCACTGAAGCGTGACACTTTAACAATCCCACTAGATAACACTACAAAGCAGGAATCGATAGATGTAAAAAAAAAAAACCCTGATATCCATAACTTGTCAACAAAGGGTCATAATGAGCTGTATGAGGACCAATTTATATCAGGTTGTTATAGAAATAGAACTTCTCACATATTGTTCAATAGTTACCTTTAAATCACACGTTGACGCTGTCCCTGGTAGCCAATAACTTGTCTTATTCACTAGTTGCACTAGTTTAACATAACAGAAATGCTGAATTTACAAAAAGATCAGATTAAAGACATGCCTGAGTAAGTCTTTCCAAAACAAGCTAAACAAGAAAGTTAAACACGTAGATACTGTAGATATTTTGAAATAATGTAATAAAACAAGGAGGGAACTCACAATTGATATTTACTATGTTTACTACTAATAACTACTCACAACATAGGATATTATCTGTTATCTGCTTTATCAATATATACTATTTATGATATATAAATATGTACCGTTACTATATTTAGTTTTGTAGTTTTTAGTATATAGATAATTGCACTACATGTATGATCACAAATAACAGCTGATATATTGTTTAAGGGTTGCATGACTTAAGCGGAAATATATTAAACGTATTCATGTCGAATAGCTGTGGTATCTGTTGTTATATGTAAATAATTGACTTCTCATTGCTAGAATTGCTGTTTCCGTATAACATAATTCATATTCCATACATCATACACAAGTATTTTGTAGCTTTATCTAAAAAGGGCGATAAGCAAAACAAATACCACTCCTCACGTGATTCGCATGCTGAAGATGGTACAGAAAACACACATGTTAATATAACTTTTCATTAACAATCAATGAATTAAACTGCACCATAAAACTGATTCGTGGACTATATTTGGGAACCTAAGGGCGACTCCGGAAACTCAAAATTAATCAAAAGAAATGTAAAAATCAGGATGGGGAGACCAGCCCCATCTTTCAATAAAAATCGTAATTATCATCTACCTCATTATTTAAAAAAAAATTAAATACATGTGTATATTCTAAACCGTGCCACTGTTCGTATGAATTATTATGTTCTTCTAAAGCCATCAAACTTATGACAGTTACAAAATTTAAATGATTGAAGGTTTACATAATTTGTATACCTGTTTATATGTATGTTATCTGCTGTAGCACTATATACACGCTCATTGTTCTGGGAATAAATTGGGATCACTTTATTCATCAATTACTGTTTTTAGATTGACTTGAATTATCACGTTTTCCCCAAACATAGCTGCGTATTTTGTATTCCTCTTTCTTCTTTTGTATCTTGGGCAGGATACTATCAGAATATTTCATGTGAGAATTCCCTCTGACTATCCTCTAATAGTCCATAAAGAGAGTTATATACAACGCATCCAAAAGTAATATATCACATCTTTGTTGTAATCAACATTTATAACAAAATCAGCAAATGAAGGTTCAGGATTTAATTGTGTAGGTTTTGTACAATATTCAAGTATAGACTATAATTTGTGTCATACATTATCATAGGCTGCCAGTGAATGAACTATAGATTTCTAATACAGCGTTTTACAGTTGCACTTAGCTCAAAGAATTTCCAGATAAGACAGTCTAAGATATTTTAAAGTATGAAAAATAAATAATCTGATAAGCTAGAAATTACTGTTAATAAAATTAATAAGAACTTTGAGGAACACTTATTTAGATATGTTTCGTTCTTTATCCTAGGGTTCGATTGCCCATTCGTGTACGGCGATCGACATATCCAGCGCACCTTGACGTCAATAAATCAATTTATATCTGTCGAAAGTGTCAAAACATATTGCAACAAATACATATAATAAAAATACAATAAAATTTCTTCTTAAAAGTAAGACCTGTCCAACAAATTATGACTTGTTCCATCACTATTGTATACTAAGTAAAATATAGTCTAACATATTGTACATTAAAAGATAATAAGGTAAAGCTAATCTTAAATGAATCTAAATATAAGACAACGAGTATACACTATCTGATACAGTCTCAGGACGAGGGTACTATGAAAGCTTTAATAATCAATAACACTAGTGAGACAGATGGCGTGGATACAATGAGATAAAAAGGTAACAATAAAGTATATTAACAGAGTATGATGAGGACTTGTGTGTTAGACTGGCTAATGGATAAATATACAAATATCCTGGATATAAGCAAACCGGCATCTGTATATACGTCTTAACGCCTTTTAAATCAATACTTTGCATATCATTACTACACGGTATTCTTATAATGCCACCATCTACATACACATCTGTGTGTAACATCATTCAATAGACGTAGCATTTTGTTTCTTCTTTAATATTTGTAGAAACACGACGTCATGAATATAAAGTTTTTTACAGTCCTCACTTGTGATGACGAATGGCGCGTTCCATGGACTACCTTCAAATGTCATTACGGCGTCGTTAAGATCTTCAGACAATGAAGACAAGCAAAAGTCATCATATTTTGCTCTAGTTTTCCTGAAGTAAGCCACTTCGTCATCGAAATCAGGCAGCTGGCGTTTTATTTTTTCTTTCAACCTGTTCAGGAAGAAGTCGTACAAATAATAGTCTAGATATCCACAACGCTTATATAATTGTTCCACTTTTGGTCCAAACACCAATCGCGAATCGTCCAGCTTATTAACGCGAAGTTTAGCGTACAAAACATGTCTGAGATCCCAGTTTAAGATCCGACGCATTAACACAATGGATTCGTCAAGGAACTCCATCACCAGTATAATATCAAATTCCTTATCTAGTTGTAATAAATAATTCTCTATCAGATGATGATTCTTTACTAAAAATAGATCACTTGGAAAAAGATAATAAGAAGCCATTGTATTGCATTTTGAATTACGGATGCCCGTGCTGTTTCTGTAAGCTTCATTGCGAGACAAAAATTGTAGAACTGGATATTTTCCTGGTATACCTAGCACAGACTCTGGGCGAAGAAATCTAACAAAGGATCTAAAGTGGCTGAACGGCTCCCTCACGATTCCAATGTATCTAGTATCATTAGGTAGAACACTACTAAATTGCTGTCTATTATACCTAATGTGTGTACAAGCTATATCAAACATCCTTCCGTTCGGTGGGGGGTAGAAGTAGCGAGATGTCAAGAATTCACCACCCCCGCTTGGCTTTCTCGGTAGAGCAAAAGTGAGATTCTTTTCATCCCCGTAACGTAGAAATATATTCTGAACCGTTGTACTGGCTGCCTTAGGCACTTTTATAAATGCTATATGATTGACAGGTTTACCTGTCTGGATGTATTGGGTCTGTCTGGAAGAGACTTCCCTCCTGTGTAATGTCCATGATGTTTTTCCAACTGTAAAATTGATGTTAGATTTAACACTGTACAACGTCACCAACACAGCACATCCTAGCAACAAAGACCTGCAACACATTAATTTCTTATAAAACAGTGACAATAAAAATAATGAAATAATTATCAAATCCTGCAAAACCGGTCCTGCATTGAGATTAATCTCAGAAGAGGCTGTAGACAAGGCTAACGTCAGCATCAAAATGTTGAGATAAAGTGACTGCTGTCACATCTGTCCGATTACAACAGTGATATTTTTACTCGTAGCTTCTTTTGTGTGTTTCAAACTTCGTCCTCCAAAACAAAGAAAACAGTGGTGTAGCTCACCTATAAAGTCCTCAAAAGTTACAATATAAATCAACAATGTAGAAGTTTTATAATTGACAAAAACAACAATAAGAAATAAACAATAATAAGTCCCGAATACATTTATAAGAACGTTTTAAAGCATTATTTACTTACAAACATGTACGTGAACGTGCGCCTTAGATTTCAATGTCTTATAACAGAAGGTCAACAAAGACAACCCCGTCTGAGTTTCAATACAGACACAATAAATCACTATAAAAAAAACCAATATCATACAAACGTTTGTCGTTAACTGAGATCTAATGATAACTGATGGCCAACAATTTAGAAAAGATCATCCTTTAATATCACGGTCATGTTTTAGTGTTTATATACTACTGACTAAGCGTCTTCTGGACAATTACATTCATTAAAAAGGAGTTTCACCTTGAATCATATCTACTTCAGTGTAAGTTTAGATAACTTAGAAGCATTAGTAGAATGTCGAAATTATCCATTGAAACTGGTTGGTATACCATGTAGTAATCGTGTTCGTCAACTATGTCATAATGTACTGCTAATGAATATCTCTATTTATTTCATTGTTTTACTACTCAAAGTTTAGTGAAAATGGGAGGTATGTTTGAGATTTTTACCAACCTGTATTAGGTAGAGTGAGCTACTTTCTTTAAAATATCATTAATCTAGTACTTAACATCTATATTCCATACTTTCTTTACAATTTTATTACTACTATATTACTCTTGTATGTTTCAAATTGAAATCAAACCTGATTAATGTTTATAATGAGATACCATTAAATATGATTATTCAAATGCTACAATGAATTTAACATATGTACCATTGTATCATAGCTCTATTACCGTGTCTGCCATGTTTATTGCTTTGTAAAGCTGACCTCTTGTAACACACTTTAGTGTTACCAGTGAGAAATAAAAATCGGAAACTGAAGTCCTTCTTAAACGAACAGATAACTTTAAATAAAGCTTCGGCTGACCTAATGATTACAGTGTACGAGTGTGTCCACAGTAGACAAAACAACTTACCTCCAACAAGCTATCCGATGCATGGCTTGAGTCTGAATGCTAGTGCTTCATTGCCTCAATATAGAAAATGTGTGTCAACATTATCCAAAGAACACGGAGTATGTTTTTGTCCTTTACATAATTATTCAAGTTGTATAGTGCATAATGACAAATCGTGTAGCGCCACACCAGGTGACACAATCGTCGCACTCGAAGAAGAATACTGTACACCTCGTTAAACATTCCTCTCCTTTATTTTATCGTTGTGTGATCTTTAGAAACGAATGCTAAATTCCTATTGAAGTGAAAAAAATGGCGGAATAATGTTCGTCGTGAAGAAAATATTGTTAAATGCACATTATTGGTGTAAATTCAATTCACTGTAAACCATGAGTTTAAAAGAAACGAAAATTCTATTGGGTCATTATCTATATTATAAGAGAGAGAGAGAGAGAGAGAGAGAGAGAAGAGAGAGAGCCGAGAGCCGAGAGCCTTCTTCCGTCACAAGCAATAAAGAAAATCGTCATTCAAACATAAATCCAATAAAACTAGTGCAAATTTATAGCAGAACGCGAGGACACTTGAAAAAGTACTGCTTCATTGACGACATCCGCCACAGGTCAATCCAAGTGTAAGTTTACGTTTCCAACTGAGAATACAGAAAACAACAGCAGGTGCACTTACGAGCACCAAACGTATCAGACTTCCTTTCTCATTAGGAAATAGAATTTTCCCGGTGAAATCATTATGGCGATGTCACTGCCATTTCCAACCACCAATCTCTCTCGAAATACTATATTGTGACTTTCACTGTTACGTGTGACACGAAAATCGCGATTTTGAGAACAAGTCTTTGAATATCGAAACAATTGCGACATATAATTAACATAGAATGTTTCTCTCCAGAAATGATTTCGTTGTAGAAAAAGATCGAGACAATCGGCTGATGTAGAAGTGTCGGTCGTTTCCTTGATTTCAAATTCAGGTGGGGTATATAGCGTGGGCATAGCCAATAAATGTTTTAATATATAAATAGAACACAATATCTACATATCTGTGATTGATATTGAAGGATATCTAGAGGTCTTTGTGACCAGTAATAATGAGCTATTTGATAAGTTCAGCCTCGTATGAAAGCAAAACCAAGAGAGGGAGCAGTTTGTTCCTAAATGTAATCCAATTATCTTTTAGAAGATCTCACCGCCAATCCCGATGAAACTATGGGGCTAGAGCACCTCCTCTCTAGATTGTGGTGACATGTTTTCGATAAAATATGTTATTTCTCAGTACCCCATAGGTTTTTAGAAAAAAGGTCCTTATCGTCACTGACGAACCTTAGAAGGGCGAATTTAATGCACTGATCAAGGTGTAAAGATTTTGGCACAGCAAACCATATTTTAGTTTCACTTTGCGTAATCGAGACCCTGTCTTTCTTGGCACAAAAATGACTACGGATGCTTGAAGTTACCATGTCATGTTGTACTGGTACACTGAAAACGAGGCTTCTGAAAGCCGGGAGATCGTCATATCGTCTAAAAAGCTATTAAGATCAAACGTATTTACGACGTATATTAAGTCCTATACTATTACGGCTGAAGACGACTATTACCGAGTTTTTATCTGGGGTATATTACGAGATATTCACTTCAACACTCTAGCTGACCGGATTCACAGCATGTTTAACCTTTATTGATTCCTCATTCGAATCATTAACACAATGATTGGATGTAGGTATGTTAATGTTATTATTGGCGGCCCCAATAACACTGTCCAGATTTCACTCACTGTTCCAGGAAGAGTTGTCTTTCTTACTTCATGATTGACAAAGGTTCAGATTGTACGGTTTATAGTAATCAAGTACTTTGTAATTCGTTGTGACAAAAATACACCGAATGCTGAATAATATCCACTGAACATACAACGAAATGATTATACTAGAATAGCTGTAAGTGTTGAAGCCTGTTCTATTCTATAGTTTTGCTTGATTTAACAGCAGTTTCCTTAACGGCTCACCTACTGTAACCTTTAACCTCGAGGTCACTTGAATTTATATCGTAATAAGATGGAGGCGTTCACACATGGTCACGAATAATAGTTTCTTATTAGTATTTTAATCACTGATAACACGGATACGTCCTATTTTAGGTAAATGATCTCAAAAGGACACACATCATCAACATCATGTAGCCGTCATCAGAATGAATCATGGTGATTTTGCACGCATCCTTCAGAGTTTGACATTTCCTTCGATTAATTTTTTTTTTTTTCGAAGTCAAAGATTTTTTAAAAATTAAGTCCTAAGCACTGAAGGACGAAACAGCTGTATTATGCAGTTTATTTCGTTATTTGGCTTTACTCTGTTAAATTCTAAATTTGTATTTATCTTGTGTATTTTTGTGCAATCTTATTTAACTTTCAAAAGCATTTTTTGAAATTTGGAACAAAATTGACCTCATGATATCTAAAAAGCATTTTCGTAAAAGTATATCTCATAACCGCTGTTTTCCCCGTGTTTATAAACTTATTCGTGTTTGAATTAATATCAGCGCCATCGAAAATTGTTTTTTGGCCTGTTTGGATCCAGTCTTATAAAATACTATATTGAAATACATGTATACGAATAACTGAAAGATAACTATATATAAAATTATATTTATATATAAAACCACTACTTAACTCATTTCAATAATTTTATTTTGTTCCAAAACATCTATCTCCTCTTCTCGCTGTACACTACATATATATCGGTGAGTACGATTTAAAAGTAACAAGAAAGTAATTCAAACTCAGATTCAATTAATCTAGGGAAGCTCCTGAAAATAAGAACCAGGTGAATAAGACCAGGTGTTCCTACAATTGAATAGTTTAAGCCCTTTATATTTATCTTTCAAATATGCAATATTTAAAGTCTTTAAATTTGATAATGCCAACAAGACTGCGACTGAAAATTGCCCGGAACGCTTTACTTTTAGATAATACGTGTATCTTATTTTGACGTTACAACAAAATGTATTATGTACATAAAATGACATATTTCAAAGTCAGCCATCATTGTTGATGAACCCAATTATCTATATGTAGTTTCACCTATATCTTTGTCGTTAAACAATAAAATGCAGAGCATATTTTAAAATTCAATCCATTTTGTATCACATTGGTAAGGGCCGTAATGTCTTTTGTCTTGCAACTTAATCATAGTGTAAACTCGTTCTCCGTGCCACGAGGACCCTCATCACCAGGACCATGAACGCAGGAAACATTACGGCAAACAATTAAACCACAGGCATATAGAGAGTTCTTGAAAGTGTCATCAATACTAACAAATATATTTTACAAATAAAAAAAAAATTGGACACACGAGTAAAATATATTTGTTATCACTGAAGACACTATTAAATTTTCTATCTATCATATTTTCACAAGCAAAATAGCCAAATTACTGGCATATTAAGTACAGATATAGACGAACGAAGCTGACTATGCTTTTCGTGGGCTCTACTCACTCATTGCACTTAATATAATCCCTTTTAAAAGATCATTTAATCATATATCATTTGATCATATATCAACACAAAAATAATTTTCAATGTAAATTTATTCTTATACTCACATAGAAAAATATTGATTAATGTCTGGAACAGACAAAATATGCTATAACCTATGACAACTTACTGCGCGCCTGAAAATATGGCGGCATACTAGCTGTCGCTGCCGTTTACAAGAATTCTCCTGAAATGTCTAGATCCATTTTCAAGACGTTCGGTTGGGGATTGCGTTTGACTTCAATGGAAATGAAAGTTAACCGTAGAAATGAAGGTCGTTTCTTTGGTTTTGTGTGGGATTTCGTTTGTATCTTCTTTGATAATTTGTCTATTCTATAAGATAATTTGTGTTTTCTCTTTTCATTGAATTAATCTGCAAAAGTGTTATTTTCACTAGAACTTTGTATGATCTTCATTTGTGTGTCTCTTGTATAATCTTTGAGTTTTCCTCTGTCGTCTCCTAGTTTTATAATTTAGGTCCATAACATCACTGACGAGTTCTAGAAGGACGATACAGCTGTATTATACAGGTTCATTCATTGTTCGGCTCTAACGTGTCTTATCTAAATCTGTGTTAAAAGATATATTTACGTGTGGTTCCTTTGTACACTATTATAATATCACGAAATTTTTTAATAGTGTTCATCGTAAACACCTAACGGGAAACAGGAATGAATATCAAGGACACTTTAGACTCTTTTTCTTCAGCCGCTTACGTCGACTATTTTTTATAACGCAATCAAAATGCTGTATTTCCCATTTCAAATAATAACTACCGGTTTCCCCAATGTATAGCCTTTACATGTCGCAATTGATTCGATATTCAAGGACTTGTTCCCAATAGCACGACTTATATGTTAGATTTCGGCATCTGACTGAAAAACTCACAGCACAGGGTTTCGGGAGATGCTGGCTGGTGAAGGTTATGAGGAAGTTTTGTGGTCGTCATAGAGATTTAAAAAATAAGTATTTTTTCTTTTATAATATCAATATTGATGTGTTCGATGCTCGTAAGAATGCTAAGTTTATTATATTTCAGGGTGGAAGCCATATTTATGGGTTCAGGTATAAACATCAAGCGGTTGCCTATGGTATATCTGTTTTTCAAAAATTACAGAAAACACCAGCTTCGGCGAGTGAAATAAAAACACAAAAATGTCATCATAACCATTATCCAAACTCAAATTCAATATGACTACGGCAAGATATAAATCACAGGAAGATTTACAAGGAGACTACTCAAAACGTACAAAGATAATGAGATCAGGTGTTCCGGAAGAGTAAGTGTCTTCTGCTTCATCCACGACATCCGCCATGTAAAACTTGGTCAATCCAAGTAAGTAATGTCTCGTTCTAAAACAGGAACAATGCATACCAAAAACGGAACCAACAGAAAAATCAATTAGCAACAAATGATATCACTCTAACAACCGTAAAACTTTCCAATAATTTTCATTAACCTACATATTTAGAAACCCTGTGTTACTAGTTTGACCGTCAGT